TGACGAACAGGTTTCCTATTTCCTGGAGTAGGAAAACGGTATTTTGTGAAATCAAGGGCAGGTGGCTCCCATTTCTTAGATTTAGGATGAGGGGTCGCCTCTCGCCCTTGAACTGGTTTCCTCTTCAGTGAAGTGGAGGGTTTCTTAGCCGACTACTCCTTGTCCAGAGCAGGCGGCTTCTTGTTGATCAACTCTTGAATTTCTCCCTTGAAGTCCCTCATGAAGGTCATGAGTTCGTTCCTTGTGATGGGAGCAGACCCATCAGTCGGCTGCTGCCGAACAGGCGGTGCGCCTGCTGGCTCGCTTCCAGTTTGAAGATGTTCCCGTTCCCTCCTTTCGGTATGACGGGTACGTCGGGCCCTTAGGGTCCCGTCTGAAGCTGTGTGAGCTTCAACTTCAAATTCATTCTCAGTATCGTGGTCCGACTGAACTAGAGGGTCGTCCAGGGGACGTCTCTCTTCAGGAGTCGGTACAAACGTGGATTCCATCTCAGAAATACTCTCCCCACAGACGGCGCCAAAATGTTTCGGGGTTTTCTGATGTCCTGCGGGAGAGTTACAATTCCGAGACTGGAACCGGACGCCTGTACCTGCAAAACAAACGGATGCTCCGGATGATTGGAGATCCGCCTCCGACGGTCAAGTTAGTACTTGATTAAGGAGTAATTAATGCGGAAATTAAAGTGATTGGGTCTCTCTAGGTGAGAGTGTTTAATGTGTGTAATCTGCTTTTTTAGCGTGTAATCTCCCTTAATGAGGATTAAGGGAGGTATTTATAACCTCGGGAAACGTGTTAATCTAGGTTTAGGTTAACCTTGGGCTGATTGGGCTTCCCTCGGAAGTTGGGCCTAGGTGACCGGTTATCCCAGGTGTCATGGGAAGGACACGTGTCGTGTCGTAATTGGTCCATAGTGGACGGATCATTGCTTAACACGTGGCAGGCTCCTATTGGCCCATGTGACGGACACATGGCGGAACCTGATTGGTCCACTTGTCGGATGGTGATTGGTGGGGAAAAATCCCCTAATCAATACCCGCCTAAGTGGGGTTCGTTATGGACGGCCCTTTGGCCGCTTACTGGTAATTAGAGGTGAGGTCTTCCTGATTGGAACTAGAAGCCTCTAAGCCGGATCTTTCAACGGCCTCTTCGCTGTATGGCTCGTTATTGGGACCGTAAGCAGAGGCGGATCCTTTGTCGTCTGACTCTTTCAAAATCCCATCACTTGGAGTGGTGGGGGCATGTGGAGAAGACTTCTTGCTCATCCCATTCTTGGTACTCCTCATCTGAGGTTACCTCATTTGCAAGCACTTCCATATTACGCCTCCTTCTCTTTGGCTTTGTAGCTGTCTGTTTTACCCTCGCCATTGTGTCCTACACAAAGACGGTGGGATTCAGGGATGAGCAAAGCAGGTCCATACATCCAGAGATAGCACCCCCAGTCCTAGACTCAACCGTAACAAGAGACCGGCTGACTACTATCCTAGGATGTGCCGTGTGTATTGATGGTGAATCCATTTAATGAAAAGTATAAAAATACAAACAGCAAAAGCTTGAAAGAGATAAGAAGGGGAGAGATGATTACCTTATAAAATTCTGGAAAAACTTCTCAGGCGGTGCCGGTTGTGTCCACGAAACTATAGACAGAAAGTTTTCTGGAAATCAGCTATAGGCGGGGTCAGAGCGTCTCTCTCTAGAAATACTTTCTTTTTCTCTCCCTAGATTTTTAAGAAGTCGGATGAGAGAGAGGAAGGGGGGTAACTTGCTATTTATAGAAGGTTAAAACGGGGGCACTTTTGTAATTCCCTTCACAGTATAACGGTAATAAACGTTAGCTAATCAGCAGGTGACTTCTGTCACAGATGCCACGTGGCCTGCCACGTCACCCCTGTGAGGGGCAAATGTTTAGGGTAAAAATACCATAGACACGTGGTCGAATTAGAAAGGGACATGTGTCTATCTTTGAGGGGTCCAACGTGGACCACTCCTTGGCTGACACGTGTCAAGCCTCAAATAACAGATGGAATTGCGCCCTTCAGGGCCCAATTCCCAAGAGCGCCGCAAAACGGCGCAGCCCATTAAGTCATCTTGACATAATGAAGGGCACTTTTCCAATGATCCTATAAATAAGGAGATTTCCGCCATTCTGGGGACACAATTCATTTATTAAAACAACCCTATATTCTCTAACATTAGAGAAAAACACAACTGATCTCGGAATCTGAGAAAATCTCACTTTTACTTTTTCCGCACATTTTCATCTTCTACGACCAATATTAACTTAATCGTCGGAGGCGGAGCTCCTACCAACGGGAGTTTCCGTGTTTTGCAGGTATAGATAACGCCGAACTAGTCTTAGTGACATAACTCTCCCAAGAGACTAAAAACACCTAAAACAATTATGAAATTCTTATAATTATATCAATTGTATTTGTTTGTTCCTCTCATTTTTAATTGGCACACTTACAACCGTATATTATACACTAATCAAAAAGATAAAGGAAAATTCACTTTCATAACACCATATTTTTATTTATTTTCTCATTGGTGAACGACCATGATTTATATTATCCATGGTAACATTGTATTTTTATACTTAAGATATTTATAACATTAATGATTATTTTAAACTAATGGTAAGAGGTTTTAGGTTAGTTTTAGTATTTTGAATCTTTTAATATTATAAATAATTTTATTAAAAAACAAACCAACGTCAACCCAGCCAAAGCTAAACCACCAGCCGACCCTGCCGACACCAAGCACCCCCACTCCCACTCCCACTCCTACCCCCGGACGGCGACGCTCAGCCTCCTTCCTCCCCTCAAATGCCGGCGATGCCTAGCCTTCACAATCCTCTCTCTTTTCTCGCAGCTCAACACCACCACCAAATTCCCCCACCACAACACGCACATCTGAAATTCTGGGCAAAAAAACTCTAAAAAATTGGGGTAAAATTCAGTGAAATTAGTTTAGATTCAAGATGTATAGCTATTGGAAACGCTGATTGTTGGAAATGGAGATTAGATGTGAAATCAGGGTTTATGAATTAGGGGGTGGCGTTGGAGAAAAAGGGTAATCGAAGAGGTTGGGGGAAAAGGGAAAATCGGGGTTGTGTTGTGGTCGACTGGTCGGCCGGCTGGTTAAGGTCGTGGGTTAGGTTCAGTCTCTACGGTTTTAGGGTATTGAGGTGGCAATGTGTTGGGTAGGTTATTAGAGCAAGGATTGGTGACAGGTGATGTTGCGGGCTATTGGCGTGAGAATTGGTGGCGGTTCGAAGGTGGTTTGGTGGCGTGACTGAAGTGGCGTGGTGTGTAACATGGTGTGGTAGGTGGTTAATTGCGGTGGTTGAACTGGTGGATATTCGGTGTTGGCGTGAGGCGGTGAATCAAGTGGCGGAGAATATGGCTGGGAGGTTTTAGTGCATTGCCGTGGCATTGTGTTGTTGGAAAGGTGAGGAATTGAAGATGAAGATGATGAATAATCTTGATGATGATGATTTAATTTTCTTTGAATAAATTATGTGTTTTTTACAAAAAAAAATAATTAAACCTTGTGGTTTATATATATATATATATATATATATATATATATATATATATATATACTAGTTTTGTGTCTCGTGCTTGAGTTGTTTATTGATTTTTAAGATTAATTTTTTAATCTATACTTTTAAAATATAGCTTTATTGATTCAAAATTAGTTAGGAATTGATGTGATTTTGTGATGATTTAAACTATGTAGTAAATATGTAATAACTAATAATAATAGGAAAATTTGCTCGGATTATTTTTTAATAATCCGACCTTTATATCCAATCCGCTCAAAATAGTCTCGAGTGACCAGTAACCGGTTGAAGAGGTAATTTTTTTTTATTTAGTTTGATATACATGTGTCATAACTTGATTCGTCCAAAATAATAAAAAAAATTAACAATAAAAAAAGTAAAAGCATATACAGAAATAAAAAAAAAATAATAAATAAAAAACCACCACCTAAGCCACACCACAGCCACCACCATCCCCACCACCACCCAGGCCCTAGAACTACCACCCCACCCAGACCGAAAACCAACGCTCCACCCAGGCCCGAATCCACCGCCGCCTGAAACCGACTAATACCCCAAAACCCTTTCGAAAATCGAAACCCAGCACGCTAGATGTGTTGAGGTTGCGCGGCGCGACATCGAGGCATGGGAAAGTGTGGGAGGTCGGAATCTTGGCAGGGGAATGTGAGGAATGTCGAAATCGCGCAGGGAAGCCGTAATTGAAACGGGGGAAGGGGAAATCTGGCGGAATCAAAACAGGGGAAGGAGAGGGCAGCTGGGATCGGGGTGGGTATGGGGTTTTCGAGGGTTTGGGGAGGGGGTTGGTGGTTCAGTGGAGGATGAAGGGGGGCGTCAGCTCTGATTGAGGCGGTCTGGGTGGTCAGTGTTGCGGGTCAAGGGAGGGGGTTTAGGCGTGCTTTCGGCGCCAAGGGTCAGGGTGACCGGAGCCACTAGGCTGGGTGTCAGGGTGGCAGGGAATAGGCGTGTTCAAAAATAACCGACCCGGTTGACCTGACCCGTTGACCCGGCTGATTTTAGCGGGTATTTTTGTTGTTTTTTTCAAAATTAGCAGGTCGGGTATCCGGCACGGTAAAACTGAAGTTTTACGGGTCGGGTCATGGGCCGCCTTTTTGTGTTTGACGGGTACCCGCCGACCCTTTAAGCTTTTTTTTTTTTGAAAGTTTTTTTTTGAAAGAACCCTTTAAGCTTTTTTATATATATATATATATATATATATATATATATATATATATACATATATATATATACATATATATATATATATACATACATATATACATACATACATATATACATACATACATATATACATACATACATATATACATACATATATATATATATATACATACATACATATATATATATATATATATATATATATATATATATATATACATACATATATATATATACATACACAGGGGCGGTTCTGGGCCGAAGCGGGGTGTTCGACGGAACCAAAATTCAGATATATGTAATTAAGTTGTACATAATATCACAAGATTATAGTTGGAGTATTGGTTATAACACTTATTCTTTGTGTACGAGACCTAGTTTCAAGCCTTGGGGCCAGCAATTTTTTTATTTTTTTGGGAAATAAAGTGTAGTAGTGTACAACTGTCTGTCAGTCAAATTCAATGAAGTGAATGAAATAAGTCACTTCTCTAGAATCCTCCGCCCAAACCTTTCCTCTTCTCCAATATTTTTCTCCAAAAAAACTTTCAATCTATCATTCAATTAATTCCAAGTCGTATATATCATTCAATTAATTTCACTCTATATTTCCAAAATTAATTTCACACTTAACTATTTTAACATCTTGTTTTCAACATTTTTAATTTACTTTTTATTAGTATCTTCAATCATTCAATTAGCCCAAAAATATTTCATCTTCCAAAATAATTTTGCCCATATTAATTCATAATTTCAACGGTTAAATCTTCAATTTTAAGATGAAATTAATTATTAAACCGTTGTTAATCCCCCAAATTTTTCTATATATGCAATTTACTAGGTTTTTCAATTTTATAAATAAAAAAGAAATCTTTAAGATAATATTAATTCCAAAATTATTTGCAAGTACTGTGAGTATAGCTAGTAATTGGAAATTTTTTTATCATAAACCTCTTTGGAATCGGCATTGGATATGGATACGCCTATGGAGTACGGTATGTGTTTAATCTGTTTTTTTTTACCTGTTAAATCTGTTACTGTTTGATAATATTATGCTTTTTAATTTATTTTTTTGTTAAATTTTAGCAATTACTATGTATAAATTATTCATAAGTTTTTTTTTTCATTTTTTTTATTGATTACAGCGGTTGATGAATGGTTTTGATGGAGTATTGGATTATACATAGCAATTAGCGATCTCGGATCTGTCGAATTCAATCGTTGGCTTGTTACAAGCTTTTTCCGGTGATATTTTTCCTCTCTTATCAAATATTTTGTGTAATTGTGTTTAAAATGTTTCGAAAGTATCCATCTGGGCATGAAAAACGCAATAAAAAAAAAGAAGGAAGATCAATTCATTCAATCACAAAAAGGTGCTTTAGATAAGTTTTTTGTAATAGTGCCACAGTGAACTGAAAATCCTATTGATTCAAAGTTAAAAGAAAATAATGATAATGTTGGTGGTGATAATGTTAATGTTGATAATGATAATGTAGATGTGATAAATGACAATGTTAATGTTGATGATAATAATATTAATGTTGAGCAAGAAGATGTGAATCTGAATAATGTTAATGATTTTGAACAAAATGTGGAGGAAAATTCAGACCATAATATTCACAATGTTGAAGAAAATGATTTTGTTTCTCGTGATATATACGATCCAAGGATATGGGAAGCTCTTGATCAGAAGTCGATTGATATTTTGGCTCTCAATGGCCCTAAAAGAGACTTAACCGTAGTGAAAGGCCCTAAAGACAAAGTATCTAGGAGATTTACTTTAAATTTATATACTAGGTATTTGCCTAATGGTGAAACTTGTGATAGAGATTGGCTTGTTTATTTTAAAGATATTGACAACGTATTTTGTTTTTGCTGTAAAAATTTTCAAAAAGGGTATCGGAAAAGGCAATTTGGTAAATGAAGGATATAATGATTGGTCACATGTTAGTCATAGACTTAAAGAACATGAAACAAGTGTTGATCACATTTTGAACATGGGTGCTTGGTGTGAACTAAGAAATAGATTGAAAAATAATGAAACAATAGACAAAATTACCCAAGACCAATTTCATAAAGAAAAGGAGTACTGGAAAAGTGTCATTATTAGAATTATTGCTATTGTGAAGTTCCTTGGTAAAAATAACCTTGCATTTCATGGGAAACATGAAAGGTTATATCAAAGTAGCAATGGAAATTTTTTAGGTTTGATTGAAATGTTGGCTGAATTTGATCCTGTGATTATTGAGCATGTTCGTCGTATTGAGAATGGGATTATTCATCATCATTATCTTAGCCATGAAATTCAGAATGAATTGATACTCTTACTTGCTTCTAAAATCAATAATGCTATCATGAAGAAAATAAAAGAAGCAAAATATTTTTCTGTGACGTTGGATTGTACACCTGATGCTAGTCATCAAGAACAAATGACTTTAATTTTAAGGTGTGTTGACAAATGTTCAAATTCTTATAAAGTGAAAGAATTTTTTATTGAGTTCTTACAAGTTAATGATACTACTGGTCTAGGACTATTTAAAGTGTTAGAAAATGTGTTAATATCTCATGATCTTGACATAGATAATATAAGGGGACAAGGATATGATAATGGTTCTAATATGAAAGGTAAACATCAAGGTGTGCAAAAGAGACTATTGGATTTGAATCCTAGAGCTTTTTATTCTCCATGTGGTTGTCATAGTCTTAATTTAGTTTTGTGTGACATTGCAAATGCTTCTCCTAAAGCAAGGGAATACTTTGGTATAGTCCAACGCATTTATACTATATTTGTTGGTTCTACTAAGAGATGGCATATTTTAAAAGAATATGTTAAAGGTTTAACTCTTAAATCATTATCTGCCACTCGATGGGAAAGTCGTGTTGAAAGTATCAAAGCAATCAGATTTCAAATACCTGAGATACGTGAAGCCTTACTTGAAGTAGCTGAAGTAGTTGATGCTGACAATGATCATAAACTTCAAAGTGAAGCTAGATCTTTAGCAAATAATGAACTTGGTAGTTTTGAATTTTTGCTTGCTACAATCATTTGGTATGAAATTTTATGTGCTGTAAACTTTGTTAGTAAACAATTACAATCCCAGGATATGCTGATTGATATCGCCATTGGTGAGATTAAAGGGTTGATTTCCTTTTTTAAAAAATTATAGGGAGAATGGTTTTTCAAAGGCCATAGATATTGCAAAAAAATTAGCTATTGAAGTTGGCATTGATCCTGTATTTCTACAAAGACGTATAATACGTAGAAAAAGACAATTTGATGAGATAGATGGTGATGAAACACTATTATCTCCTGAGGAATCATTTAGAATCCAATATTTTATATACATTGTGGATCAAACTATTGCATCATTGGAAAAAAGGTTTGAACAATATGAATCGTATGATAATATCTTTGGCTTTTTGTTCAATTATGATAAGTTGCATTCAATGGATGATGAGAAACTTTTATCTTCTTGTTTAGCTTTTGAAAATGCTCTTAAGAAAGGTGAGGTTTCTGATGTTGATGGAGAGGATTTATTTGTTGAGTTAACATGGTTTAGAGAGTTTTTACCCAAGGAGAAAATGGGAGCAATTGATTTATTGAATTTTTTAAAACAATATACTTGCTTCCCAAATGCAACAATTGCATATAGGATATTACTAACAATTCCTATTAGTGTTGCTTCTGCAGAACGGAGTTTTTCAAAGTTGAAGTTGCTGAAATCGTACTTAAGGACGACAATGTCACAAGAAAGATTAAATGGACTCGCTTTGATGGCTATTGAATCTGATCTTTTAGATGAAGTCGATATGGAGAATGTCATCGATGACTTTGCTACAAAACATACAAGAAGAGCTACTCTTTTTAAGTGATTTCTAGGAACAATCAAACTTTGATATTTTGTAGTATGATTTGTAGCTTGGATGTTATGTTATTTAAGTTGTTTCGTTTGCTGATGATCAGCAGCCTTTTTAGGCCCAAGGATCATGGCCACATTGTGCTTCTTGATCCTAATTTTGTAAATCTTAATCATCTCCCTTTTATTTTGAAAAAAAAATGATGAATTTTCTAATGTAATGAATTTTTTTATCAAATAAAAATTAGGTATTAAATTTATGAACTATAAGGCCCCATTTTAAAAAGTTAAACAGGGCCCCAAATTTTTTTTGCAATTTTAGCCCCGGCACTGTACATACATATATATGTGTGTGTGTGTGTATATATATATATATATATATATATATATATATATATATATATATATATATATATATATATACCACTGCACGCATCGTCGGAGATAGGCTTGCAGGAAACCGCGCGGCCGAGCTTTAGTTGCTGGAAATCGTCGGAGATAAGCCATAGTCGAGCTTTAGTTGTGGACTTGCGGGCCTATTCATCCTCCAAGAAAGATCCTTGTCAAGTTAAATTTGATAATTTAACTCTTATTAATGTTAGAAATCTTATGATTTCTCTAATATTTTGCTCAAATTTGCTAAGATCCAATTGACATAAATTCTCAATGGTTCTTCATTTGTGAAGTTTAAGGTGTTTTGTCTATTTTATCTCTGTAAGAAGTATATTATTTGTGGTTGTATGCTTGTATCTAAATTTTATGTTCTCAATTTCTTTTAATTTCTTAGTTGAATCTTAATCATCTTCAATTTGTGTACAAGAGTTTTTTTTTTTTTTTTAATGCTTTCAAATGCAAACATTAAACTTTATTTTTTTTTTTTTTTTTTTTTTACTTTTATTCGGGTACCCTCTGACCTAATCCTGGGCACCGTGCCGGGCCGGGCCGCCGCGGGCCGTGCCTGGTGAGCCACGGGCTGGTTCGTGCCGTGCCGGTCGTGCCGGCGGGCCCAGGATTTCGTGTCATGCCGTGCCGGCCATTTTCACAGGCCAGCCCACGGCACGGCACGACCCTCGTGCCTGGCGGGCTCGTGCCGTGCCGGCCACGTGCCGGCCTGCGGGCTGGTGCAGTTTTCAAATAATTTTTTTTTTTTTTTTTTATGACAACATTATAAATTAATAAGTTTATAATGTATATAAGTTATAAAATTATAATTATAAGTTTTATAAGGTAACTTATAAGTTATAAGTTATTAAGTTATGAATTTTATAATTATAAGTTGAATATTTATGTTTTATAATTTGTATATTCAATATTTATATTTATATATTTACTTTATACTATTACTTTAAAATTTAATGTTTATGATTTATTAGTAATTGGTATAATTTTATTTTATTTTAATATGAATTTACAAATTGTAACAAAACGGGGAAAAAAGGCAAATTGGACTTTGGATGTGAATAATGCGTACTTTATATTATTATTACTTGAGTTGAGAAAATTGTACAATGATAACAATGATAAAAATCATACAATGATGGTATTAAACAAAAATTGGAAAATGATAAAATTGATATTTTTTAAAATCGTACAATATACAATAATTGTCTATTCTTCTTCTCCTTCTTCTTGCTCGTCTTCGTCTTCGTCTTCGTCTTCGCCTTCGCCTTCAAGGTCATCGGCTAGTTGCATAGATTGGGAACTAGCCGAACCCGAACCGGAAGCGGAGGTTCCTTCTTCGTTGTCGTTGTGGTCGTAAGAACGGTCTTGTGAGCGATTTTCCGCATCCAACCAATCTTTGAAACACACGCACATTTCTAGTGTTTCGGGTTTTAGACTTGTTCTTCTATCGTCTAAAACCCTTCCGGATGCGCTGAAAGCTCGTTCGGAGGCGACGGAGGAAACTTGGATAGCAAGAATGTCTCGTGCCATTGCCGCCAAAGTTGGATTCTTCGAGCTTTGTTGTTTCCACCATGCAAGGAGGTCGAGGCTGTTTATCTCATCGTCGTCCATGCCTTTGGTGAAGTCGTAACTCAGGTACATCTGCAACTCCGAGACGTCGCTTTGCGTTCTCCTGATTGATGAATCACCTGAAAACCTTGAAATCAAGTTAGTAGCTTGTGAAAATAAATGTTTGGCCTTCTTACTTACGTTTTTGGATGGTTGGGAAGGCCCTGAGCGAGGAACGGTGCCATATTTGGCTTCATAGACTCTATATAAAGCAAAAAACTAATCCTTCACATTAGTCTTATAGTTTTCTACATCATCGTCAAGAAACATGCATTGAAAGTAAATGTCAACTAACATAAATGTGTTTTCATACTTTTGCCTAGGATCTAATATGGAAGCAAAAATATAAATCAAAGGAATCTCACTATAATATTTACGCCACTTTTTTTCCATTGCTGGAAGATACTGATCATAATCACTTTGATGGCGATGATCAGCGAAAAGTTGGGCGAGTAAGCATGCATTAGAAAGAAAGTTTTGAGCACAAGGATTGTAAACAGTAGAAAAACAATACGTCATGTTATATAATAACTGTAAAAATTGCATATATCTTTCACAGTTTTTCCAATCATCATCATACAAAGCATTTTGTGGAAATTTTTGGTTGTAAAATAATGTTAACGGGCCCTTGTACTCAATTGCCTTTGTTAACATGTCATAGGTGGAATTCCACCTTGTTGGGCAATCGGTTCTAATTTTTATTACCCTTATCTTTTGTTGTTTTAGAAAACTCTTCCATTCTTGGTATCTCATGTTAGAGCTATTAATAGACATAATAGCATCTCTGATTTTGCTGTAGTATGGGCCAATTGCCCGAACTCCATCCTGTACACATAAGTTAAGTACATGGCAAACACATCTAGTATGAAGAGATTCACCGTCAAATAGTACATCGGTTAAGTTTTGTTTGATAAGATTAGTTGTGTATGTCATAGAGGTTGCATTATCAAAAGTCATAGACATCATTTTATCTCGAAGGTTGTATTCGTCTATTGCTTGCATTAAATGGTGAGCAATGTTAATGCCGGTGTGTGGGTATTCCAGCATTTTGAAATGTATTATTCTTTTTTGTAACATCCATTGATCATCTACCCAATGGCAAGTCACACATAAATAGTGATATTTATAACCACTATCCCAAGAATCGGCTGTTAAAGATACTCTACAGTTAAGGTTACTCAATTCGGCTTGTAACCGGACTTTGTACTCTAGGAAATTTTTCATTGCGGAGGAACGAACGGTTTTCCTAGAGATTCTTTTATGTTGGGGTTGTAGTGCTTTGTTAATGTAGGTGTTGAATGTGTCACTTTCCGAGAAAAGAAAAGGTTGTTCGGCGTGTACTATCATTTTTCCTAGTTCATCCCTATCCCTCTCATAGTTGTATGTAAAGCCGTATGGATGGAATTGGGAAATTTTGGGTTGGGTTGGATCACTAGCTGGTTTTGCACAAGCTTTCATGTGTCTAGATAAGTGTCCCGTCCCATTTTTGGTAACTGCCGTGAATACACTATTACATGTTTTACATTTTGCCCATTGTTCACCATCTTTACTTAGGACAAAATAACGCCATACCTCACTCCTTCGGTTTTTCAAAAGTAGCATCTCAGTTTCGGTTAACCATTCATGATGTGTGTGATGGTTAGTAGTGAGACTAGTGGGAGTGGCAGTAGAAGGGGTAGAACCGGAGGGAATTCAGGTACTTTCTTGGCTACCTTGGCTAGAACAATAGTTTTGTTGATCACCAATATAATTAGGTGGAAATTGGTATGGTGGTAGTGGAAATTGGTTTAGTGGTGGTGCTGGAAATCCCGACGTATTATATGGCTCATAGCCCGGGGGGAAGTAAATGGGGTCATTTGTTTGACTCGTAATTTGGGGGCTCGTTGTATTTGGTGGTTCCCTAGAACTACTACTACGGATAAGTCGGCCTTTCCCCCTAGACCTAGATGATGGGTTGTTCGATGCCATAATTAACAATTAATTTTTTAATAAAAAGTGGTTAACTATAATAATAATAATTAATAACAACAATTTTAAAAATAAAAATATCAATAATATTAATTAATAACAACAACTATAACAATAACAATAACAACAAAAATAAATAATAACAACAATTGTAACAATAATAATAATTAATAACAATTATAACAACAACAATAACAATTAACAACAATAATAATTAAACAAGATTATTCTAATAATAACAATAAAACAATAATAAATTTAAGATTAGTTTAGATCTTACAACCGTGCTTCAACGCTCCACTAATTACGATTACGAACTTTTTAATTTTTTCCGATATTAGGAAAATAATTAGAGAATTTAAGAGAATAATTAGAGAATTTAAGAAAATAAGGATTATTAGAGATTTAGAGAATATAAGAGATAAGAAGAAGAGATTGTGATTTTGTGATTTGGGAATGAAATGGAGGTGAGTATTTATAGAATTTTTGGGGAGCAAATTGGCAAACAACTAGCCGTTTTTAGCCGTTTTTTTGGCTTATTAGAGCTAGAATAAACGGTAACATTATCGTTGGCCCGCGGGCCGTGCCTACGGGCCAGCACGGCGGGCCATGCCCGTGCTCGTGCCGGGCCGTGCCTGGGAATTCTCAACCTTGTCCGTGGCACGGGAGTTGAACTTCGTGCCGTGTCGTGCTTGAATTCGGGCCGTGTCGGGCTGCGCCGAACGGCGGGCCGTGCCGGGCGGCACGCGGGCCAACCCGGCCCGTGCCCAGGTTTACTCTGACCCGACCCGGGAATTTCAGGTACCCGTTAACCGGGTACCCAGATTTCTCGGGTCGGGTCATGGGCCGAGAATTTGACTACCCGAAACCCCGGGTACCTGCATTTCCGGGTACCCGAAATCCCGGGTACCCAGATTTGAACACCCCTAGCAGGGAAGGCTTGGGCTAGTGGTGGTATTTAAATAACTTAATTTTATTTTTATTTTTTTTAAAAAAAAAACATTGAACTTATTTTTAAATTTATTTTATTTTATTTTTATTTTTTGACAAATCATAGGGCGACATGTGTCAAGTAACTTGTTATTACAGGTTACATGACCGGTTGGGACCATTTTGAGCGGATTAGGTATAAAGGTCGGATTATTTAAAAATAATCAATAGGTGAGATTATTTTGAGCGGATGAACCAAAGGTCGGATTATTCCGGGCAATTTTTCCATAATAATATTGGTGAAAATGTTCAATTAAATACATAAAAAAAATGTTCTAAGCACATTGGGTTGACCCAATCTGAAATGACTCATGATCTGACCCAATTGACAGGTCTACATACGGAAATAAAATCATATTAAATTGTGAAGTATATTATTTGAGTCGATAATAATATATTATATATAAATGGATGTTGTACGTTTTGAACTACTTCCTTCACTCCAAAACATATTATGATACAAATAATAAATTTAGATGATAATTATTGAGAGTTATAATCTAACATTTTGTTGAATAAAATTACAATTCAATTTGTACATATGAAATGTTGGTATTTTATCAAAAATAAAACTTTAAACTAACAATTTTATCTTAAAATTATATCCAAAATTGATTGAAAATAAAATTTTAATTAACTTTTCTATCTTACGAAATCTATCTAAATCTATCCAAGGTGGCACTACACTTGGCAAAAAGTTGAAATGTCAAGTGTCGCTGTCTTATTGCTTCGCTAAAAGTTTAGTTATATATATATATATATATATATATATATATATATATATATATATATATATATATATATATATATATATATAGAAGTGGTTTGAGGTTCGAATCCTCTTATCATTGATACAAATTTAGTTAAAAATTGATATCCAATTTGTGAAACTTGAAGTGACCCAATCTGAATATGACTTATGACCCGAATCTAATTGACAGGTCTACTTAGTAATAAAATTTTATTAGATTGGGAAGTATATTATTTTAACCGATAAGTATATATTATAAATGGATATTTTATGCTTTAAACTACTTCCTTCGCTCCAAAATATAATATGGTACAAAAAATAAATTTATATGATAATTTTTGAAAATTATAATCTCATATTTTTTTATGAATAAAATTATAATTCAATTTGTACATCTAAAATATTAGTATTTTATCAAAAATAAAACTCTAAACAATTTAATTCTAAAATTCTATCCAAACAAATTTCTAAATTAATTTTTTTTATCTTATGAAGATTATTTAAATTTCTTCAACGTGGTACGACACTTGCAAAAAGTTAGAACGCCAAGGTCACTACCTCGTGACCTGGCTAAAAGTTTTTTATATATTAGTTATATGATTAGCATTAATATTCACATTCTAATTATGAAAATTTCTTCATTTTATTAATTACGAAATTAAAAATATAAATTATTCAGAAATATTTATAAATAAATTAAAACAAGATAAAATCTTACACTAAACTACTGAAGCCATTTACAAATGAAAATGACATTTATTATTACATTTTAACGGATCAAGAGGGTACAACAAACAAAAGCGCTTAATAGGCATTGTAACCAATATGAATAAACTGATATTGTCTATATATGTACAACAGACAGGTACATTATGTACATTTGATGTGCTGTTTGAAACATAGCCATGAATCTACACATGATTCTCTAAAAATGCTAAGATTGCCAAACCAGCAGCCCAAACATCATCGTCCAATACATGTTCTGCAGGTGAATGACTGATACCTCCACGACAACGAACAAAGAGCATGCCCATCTGTTTGCACAATCTCCATTAGAGTTGTATACTATATTAATTCTGAATAATCAACATATATAACATGAGTGCAAAAACTGACCTTAGTTAGATGAGCCATAGCCATGGCATCATGCCCTGCCCCACTCATTAATTTGGGCACATCAACATCAACGTTACCTGCCATTTTTCTGAATGCAGTGAGTGCAGCCGACTGGAGCTGCAAACTCAATTCACTGTTGCATTTGACAGCATTGGCGTCATGCTGACAATATCAAACAAGCATTTTAAATTATATTCAGCAAAAAGAAGTGTGACTTGAAAATAAAAATTAAATAAAAAATAATGAACTAAAGTACCTTGCGCTCAATTACACACGAAACTGATCTTTTATCACAAATATTGTACATTCTGGCTGATAATTCATACAATACAGCCTCACGGCCAGCATCATCCATAGCACGTAAATCTACAGTAAATGTCACCTGAAAAAGGGAAATCAAACATGCCTTAGCATTTGGTCCAATAATTAATTTGAAGACCTACTAAGCTAAGCAAAAGCATAAGGTAAAGACCCTGCCTGTCCCGGGATAACATTACTGGCACTTGGCCACAATGATATTTCTCCTACGGTACAAACAAGTGAACCAAAAAGAGATTCAACTGTACTGCAATCATCATCATAGGACAAAAAGTTTTGAGGTTGTTTACAAAGGCTTTCAAGTAATACAATCAATTCAGCAGCGGCTGCCATAGGATCACGCCGCATAGACATGGGGACAGTTCCTGCATGTCCTTGTGAACCTGAGACTGTTACCTGCAGTGAATTTCATGTGAGATAATCTAGGTAAAGCGTCACTACATTTCTAGGTAAAGCGTCACTACATTTCTACTAAGCAAGATCGTACAAATATATTCCAGTTGTTTGAGGCAGTCAGAATGTAAGCCATTATGATTTCCAGGACTGGCAGTTATATAGGCTCAGTTCTCAACTTATTTAAACACATTTAGAATTAAAAATAAATAATAAAATAGAGTAAAACAAGTTAAGCCTAGAAAAATTATGTGAGTTCATTATATAAGAAAACTCAAACAAAATTTAAGCAAAAACAAGTTAAGGTTTTTTTTTTAGCAAAAAACTAAGCTGAGGAGAATAGAGCCTTAGTCACCTAACAAGAATGGAAATCATGAAGACAAGATAATGAAATTTAAAATAATAGAATACAGGAAGAGGGTAATAGAACTGCATCATAAATAAGATGATTTATAATTTTATATACACCAAGTGTAACACGTTGCACACGAAATCTATCATAGTCTGGTGTGCCTAAAGGAAAATACACCAAATGCGCTTCAAGGTGGCGTGTGTTTCTCATGAACGTCACATGCATCAAATCCAGAGTCTGGTTTGCCTTCATACCAAAAGCATGTGGGCAATGATCCAATGATAAGATATGATCATTGTTAACTAGATGTGTCAAAGCAGAGTCCATGCTAGGTTTTAATTCTTCATTCTTAGATCTTTAACCATCTGGCAGGAGAAGATGATTATCAAGGTTGATATGTAAACAAAATACACACTATATCTTCATCAACCAACCTTGAAACACAGAGGGCCTACCTTGTCAACATTGACACCATTCCCAGAAATATATTTGCAACCGATGAAACATAAAAAACTAATTTTTGTTCATCCATTTTTATTTAAAATTCCAAAGAGAAATTATCAATTGGCTTTCACTATGTGCTTGTATCTGTCTATCACTTAGCTTGAGCCAAACTGACTTCGAAGCATAGCTACTTAAAAGAATAGAGATGAATGTTCCACCTTTTCCCTCAAAAGTTGTCCGGAGGAATGCCAGGTTGGCCAGGACACAGGAGCTGAGGCCCATCTGGTTCATGTGACAACTGTGGTACTAGCTCCTGTAAGATATTTTAACGAAAAGTCTTTGGTGTGGTTGCGGACAGTTTACATTTGCTTTATTTACATGGATTAGAGAGAGTTTGCAGATGAAAGAAAGCAGCAAGGGACGTTTACCTTTAACCGTGTCTGCCCAGCTATGCCTTTGACTACCCCAAGAGGAATACCGGCTGCTTCTAAAACTGGTCCCTGTTCAATGTGAACCTGCAAGATTAAGCCCAAAACACGTCAAAGGCTGTCAAATGACCTAAGAGCTCATGTTAGAAAAAACAATGAAGCATGTAATCCTTGGAGTTTACACAACAGACAATCAGACTCATATACCTCAACATAACCCAATACAGACTCTGGCTGATACTTGAGCTGGATAAATTTGTCCTCTGTTACCCCAACAGCATTTTTGTTAAGGACCTCTTGTAAAGTTATCCCACTGATCATTGTGCAAGGGGGGACAAATTATAAGAAATTATAAATAATAAGGACAAACAGAAAGGTAGTAGATTCAAACCTCTTGTCTGATATGTTCAATGTGGAAGCTGGTAAGATGCCTGCTATGGCAGCACTCCCCAGGAAGGTTGACTGGAATCTCACACCTTCTTCATCACTAAAGGCAATCACCTAAACATTATGAACAGCAATTACTTTAGGCGACGCACAAGGGATCTTGCAGTAAAAAAAAAAAAGGAAATTGTTTCAAGTTTTAAAATCTACTATAAAGACAGGAGGAATAAAATCCTTGCATGCCAAGAGCCTGATCAAACCCCCTAATACTTGGACATACATATATCCACAAAACCTGAGTAATAAATGAATCAAACTTTGGGCTCTATTTTTCCATTCCCACCATTAGGGCTGCCAGACTAAGCACCTTGGAGAGACACATATGAGGTTTTGTAAGTCGACTACTAGTGTATGACAGGGATATATTTGGGACCTGAAAAAGAGAAGAGGTCTATTCCTCTCAGCTATGCACAAAGGCATAAAAGAGCGTGTTGAATATTCAGCAACTTTAGGTGATCAAACAACTTGGTACAGTAACAACTACAATGTATTTTTGCCAAGTGCAAAAGCATTTTCAAGATTGCAATGGAATATATGTCCTATAGATCTCAAGAATAACAGTGGTGTGCAGTTGTATTGTGTAACACTCTAGTTGATGGATGCAACAATGCAAACTATTAGTTTAGTCTAGACACATGCACTGATTCTTAGGCCATGAAAGAAAGTTGATTATCTATGTATAAATCTACTTCAGTTCCTATCAGGATTTAAGAGAGCAAGACGGAACAGAGGCAATTAGGCAAATAATAAAACCTACTAAGCCTCAAACTTTTGTGATGCGACTATGAGCATATTCTATCACAATCTCATTCTCGGACAAATGGAGGACATATAGGGGAATAACATGGAAAAAAATCATCAGCAAATTTAGTTCTACTGGCTTCAAGCTGTTGTTATTATTATTATAATTTTTATTTTTATTTTTATTATACTTAAGCAAGAAGCAGGGAGACAAAAGAAAAATTGCACTTTCAAATACCTCAACTGGGTTCCTTAAGTTTTCTAGCTTCTCGGTCACCATCAAAACCTTCAGGGCTGATATTGCAGATACAATACCTAGAGCACCATCAAACTTTCCAGCATCGACTACAGTATCCTTCATTGAGGCAAGACCCAGACTAAATTCTGTTAGTAAGCTACCCAAAAAAAATAATGCATGGAGAGGTTAAGAGAACCGAGTAAAAATTACCAAATGAGATCCCATCAACAGAGCAGGAGCACTTGCATTCATCCCATCTACCCGACCATGCACATTACCCATAATGTCTACCCACCTGCAAACAGAAGTTATTAAAACATAGCCTTCAAAAAGAATATACATTAACAAGCATAAGAAGATGTATCACGTTCTCAACCCCGCATCTTCCATCCATTGACTGATAACGTTTGCTGCCCTCACAGAGGCAGGGCTCAAGAAAGTCCTCTCAAGATAGCCATTCACATCACTAACCTGCCACATAAATTTAACATTTAAGCTCATTTCTAAAATATCAATGTACCCAACCTATCATGTGATATGACTGCAAATCAAGTTAAGGAAAATTTTTACTGGTACAAAAGACTGATACTATATCTTGATCAACTCCTTCAGCTGCATTAGCCTATTGTTCTAATTGATGCATGGACACCACATTATGTTTGATATGATAGAAATCAATTTGTAATGCAAAAGATGTTAAATTGATATAATGGCTTATCTTGATTAACTAACATAAATATGTATTATGTATCATTTCTTTGTATCAATGTTCGTTATAAAAAGTACACATCGTTCTCAAGGGAATAGTTTGATATAATTTACATGAATTAACTCCATTACATAATTCTTATTATAAAATATATACATGAAACAGACAGCTATGACAATGCAAGACAATAAATCAAGTTAGCGTAGACAAAAGAGTCAATCAAACCGTTTAACAAATCATATAAAACTCACATCAAAACTCAAGAATTTCCAAAAACCTGGTTTAATTTCATGATATAGCACAAATTCATAGCACAAATGATTCTCTATGCCATTGATCATAACAGTTAAATTTAAACATATATACCTTCCCCAGCTCATTTAATCTTGAGGCCGCTTCATCCCTCAAATATTCCCGGTATAAATCATGCCCCACAACTTCAATTTCTTCACCTCCTAAATCGAAAGTGCACCAGAAACACTATTATACCCAAACAAGCACAAACTTGCAAAACCAAAATCACTAAATTACTTAAAATCAGCCATACAAATTTGTCTAAACGGAGGTAGCAGTTTTTTTTCCCCTTTATAAAGAAAACTCGGTCGAATTCGAATTACCCATCTGCATTCTTTAAACCTTGAACTGTAGATCATTATTCAATCTATCAAGCAGAAACTTTTTTACTTTGTATCCGTTTTCTAATACAATAAGATTAAATCAAATAAATGTGAGTGCGTGGATAATCAAGAAGCTTAGTTGGATAGAGTCTTGCGGGGTTGTACAATCAAATCGACTACATCATTTAAAATATTAATAGACGTTTATATAAAAGAACAATCATCAGCGTCATTAGATTATACTTCTATATGATTGTTAATAACCCATCACGGATAACACGCAAACGTAAATAAAAATACGTCTTTGATTGATATTACCGAAGTATATTAAAAATAAGACATCCATACATTTGAATACACCTAAACGTAGATCAAATAATGAAGACCATATAATAAAACAAGATGATAAATTTACCTTGTAATAAATCAGCAGTAGTAGAAGTAGAAGCAGAAGCAGAGGATAAAGCAAATAGTAAGAAGGGCAAGAAACAGAGAGAGGAAGCCATGGATGAGCCTGCGGCGTACAACGACAGAAGAGGGTTAAAGGGCGGCGGAAAGAAGAAACCCTCTGCAGTCGATGAGTTACGGGGTTAGTATTGTGATTTGTGAATGGTGGCTAAGATTATAAACTACCATAAAATACAAGCGATATTTGTTTATTCGAATCACATTTTCGTAAATAAATCAATATTCTGTAATTTTTACGGTATATTAACAATTATGTATTAACGATTATTGTTGATTAGATAATAATTATCTGTTTACTTGCAATAAAATGTTTTATTATGCAATATTTGCAATAAAATGGGATTTAACAAACAAAATTTATTTATTAAGCGGGACGAGATAGTAAACTAGTGGCCTCCAGAAAATGGGTGTGTTGTGATATGCGAGGTTTTGTTTGGTAGTGGAGTAGGACGTGAGTAATTTTTAGAGTGGAGATAAGCAATTTGACAACTTCCCTTCATCAACGTCCGCTATTTCTTTTCTATATTTGCAAGTGTATTTTAATTTTTTTTTTTTTTACTTTTTTTTAATGTTACGTGGTCCATTAATGTAGGGCCTAAATCTGATCAGGATATCATTATTTTCAGTGGTAAAGACTAGACTGAAGAGGTGGACAATTTTTTTATTTTTTAAGCACCAATGCAGACGGAAGCACCAAAGCACTGCATGATGTACTCTTTTTATTACGGGTGCAAGAGTGCTAGTTTAAGGTCTGTTTTGATTTACTCAAAATAAATAAACTGAATTAAAATGAAATGAATTGAATAGAAATGAAATGTATTGTTTATGAGAAAAGGAAATAAAGAACTGAAGTGATTGGAGCTGAATTGAAATGAACTGAACTCAAATTAAGTTAAACAGATTAGGCCCTTAAGTCCCATTTAAATAACCGTATGTTTACATACTCCTATTAGTTCTATCTTATGGGACTTAAAATATGCCTAATTTGTTTATTGGTATTTGTAACGTGTGTCCATGGACATACATCTTTTTTTTTTGAGGAAAATGTTAGGGAATATTAATAAATCAAGTCATAATCCACCAAAGTGGATATGCCATGGGGGAAATTGCCCATACACACAAGTTCATCGTTTTCGTTAGTGTCCCATCGGGCAACTAGATGAGCCACGGTATTCCCTACACGTTTTACATGAGAAATGCAAAAATTATCAAAAGACAGAGCAAGCTTAGAGATATCATCAATTAGTAAATATAGTGGGGAACGGCCTTGCATATTCTTGTTGATCTTGTTAGTGATGCTAATAGTCACTTTTGACCCATGCCTTGCGAAAACCAAGTCTAACAACCACTTGCATCCCATACCTTATCGCTGCAGCTTCTGCGAGATCGACCTCCCACACCCCTGAGACTTTGCGTACAGAATCAACTATGAGAGAGCCATGGTGATCTCTACTCACAGCTCCTAAACCAATATAACCAGCAGCAGCTAAGTGTGCATCCACATTAATTTTTATCATACCTACAGGAGGGCAATTCCACCTTGAAGCAAAACTAGGATTCGCGCCACTCACTTTGTTAAAGACTTTCTGAGCATACCCCTTATAGTCTAACACGTTTTTAACGAAACCGACAGCTACATACTTCACACTGAGGCTAGCATTTGCGAAGATGCGCTTGTTTCTACAGAACCAAGTTGCCCAAGCCATCGCTAATAGACGTGTTAATTGAATTGGATCAAGCTTCCTGGATAGCCAGAGAAGGGTGGTCTTAAATGAAGAGTTTGGAGCATCTATGAGAATATCAACAAAATCACTTCCATCCCAAATATCTTTCGCATAGGCACACTCGAATAAGGCATGGTTTACAGACTCAATCTCTGATCTGCAGCAACCACACACACCATCAGGAGCAATGTGACGGTGTTGAAGAAGTTCTTTCACTACTAAATTCCCTCTACATGCTTTCCAGACAAAGTAATTGAGTTTCGGGGGTCTGTGGGAGCACCAAACCACACGCCATATCTCTCTGTCGTCATCAGTAAGTTGGCTTTCGGCTTCCTCCAAGTGCCCAAGTCTCCCCAACCAGTAGCCAAATTTCACGCTATACTCCCCTAATTTCGAAGGCCACCAAAAGAGTTCGTCCTCTCTCTGGAAAATAGAGGTTGGAAGCTGTGTAATTTTTCTGCAGTCATCATCAGAAAATAAGGTGTGCAGCAAGGAAATATTCCACTCCTTATTCCCTTCATGCATCAAGTCTGAGACTTTCAGTTCCGGATAAAAAATTGGACCATGAGTAGGCACAGTAGTAGTTGGCTTCCTAGGCAACCAAGAATCTAGCCAAACCTGGATTTTCCTTCCATCTCCTACCCTCCATTTCACCCCATCAAGGATGAGTTATTTGGATCCCCAAATACTACGCCACGAGTAGCTAGGATCATACCCCCTATAAGACTTTAGGACCGAGTGGTTCATATAGTATCGTGCCTTTAAAATGGATGACACTAGGGTATTGGGCATAATATGTAAACGCCACAATTGTTTTGCAAGAAGCGCTTGGTTAAACACTTTTAGATCACGGAATCCCATACCTCCCATATACTTGGGTTTTCACAATGCTTCCCAACTATGCCAATGTATCTTCCTAGTTGTCTCATTTGATCCCCACCAAAACCGAGCCACTAACACATGAATCTCATCAATCAACCCCTCCAGAATCTTGAATATGCTCATCATATATGTCGAGATCGCTTGGGCTACTGCTTCTATGAGGACTTCCTTTCCGGGTCTTGATAGTAACTTCTTTTGCCATCCTTGTATTTTATCCCACACTCTGATTTTCAAGCTTGCAAAAATCGCCTTTGTGGACTTACTAATAATTGTTGGTAATTCAAGGTATTTCTCATGCTTTTCAACCTCTTTGACGCCTAGAATATTCACAATCTCCTGTCTTCGATCTCCATGTACACCTTTTCTAAAGACTACATCAGTTTTGTTTGGATTAACACTTTGCCCAGATGTTCTCTCATATATGCTGATAATGTCAGCTATCACCGAGCATTCACTAACCGTAACTTTTGCAAATAAAATGTTGTCATCTGCAAAAAAACAAGTGTGATATTCTAGGAGCGCCATTACATATTTTAGCACCATGAATGCGGTTCTCATTTGCAGCTTTCGATAAAAGAGTGGAAAAGGCATCAGCAACAATAAGGAATTAATAAGGTGAAATTGGGTCTCCTTGTCATAGACCTCTAGAAGGGGTTACGGCACCCGATATTCCACCATTAATCTTAAAAGCAAATGAAACACTAGATAAGAAGTCCATAATTCACCTGACCCGGCTATCATTGAAACCCATTTTATACATGACCCATTCCAGAAAAACCCACTCAACCCTATCATACGCCTTACTTATATCCAGTTTCAAAGCCACAATACCCTCTTTGCCTTCCCCCTTTCTCTTCATAGCATGACAAATTTCAAAGGCAACCAAAGCATTGTATGTGATTAACCTTTTTGGAATAAAAGCACTCTGGTTTATGGAAATGATTTTATCTAGAAAAGGTTTCAATTTATTTGCCATTACCTTCAAAATAATCTTGTAGAGCACATTGCAACAACTAATTGGTCTAAATTCCGTAATGTATTTGGGTTTTTCGCACTTCGGAATTAAGACAATACAAGTCTTATTAATTTCTTGCAAATCTACATTACCACGCCACCAAATTTTCACAAACCCAACAATATCATTACCAACAATATGCCAAAATTTTTGGAAAAATAGAGCATGCATACCGTCGGGTCCTGGAGCCTTGTTTGGGTGCATTTGAAAGAGCGTGGATTTTATCTCCACATCTGTCGGCTCAGTATTGAGGTCTTCATTCATGCTCACGATCACTACTTGTTCAATGCCAGCAAAAGCTTGCTCGAACCAGTTGGATTTGCGGACGAGAACAAGTCAGCAAAATAGTGGGCCACGATATCTTCCAACTCTTTTTTCCCCGATCGCCAATTCCCATTATTATCATGCAAACCCTAATTGTTGTTGTAGTGTCTCCTTATGCTTGTTTTTTTTTTTGTGAAAGTAGGCGGTATTCTTATCACCGTCTCGCATCTCATTGGCTCTTGCTCGAGCGTGCCAATAAGATTCTTCAAGCCTGTGGAGTTCATCAAGTTCTTGAGAGATTTGGAGCATGATCCTAGCATTGCTGCATCAGGGAACTTGTTTTGAGCATCTTTTAATTTCTCCTCGGTACTCTTTATTTTCTTTTTAAGGTCACCAAAATTTTTAGCAGCCCAAGAAGTCAGACTATCCGCACATCGAGCAAGCTTGTTGGGCGTATGGTCAGCAGCGTTGCCCTTCCAACATTTCTAAACCACCTTACCGCACTCTTCATTAGACAACCAAAGGGCTTCGAATTTAAACTGCTTTTTCCTTCTACCTTCTTCACGGTGATCGGTGGCTTTCAGCAATATAGGAGCATGGTCCGATTGGTAAATCGGGAAATGTCGCACCTCGTGATATGGGAACATCGAACACCAATGATTATCACCCAAGAAACGGTCTAGTCTCTCTCTTACAAAAGTAGCTGGGTTAACACCTCTCTTCCAAGCAAAAACACTACCCCGAAAACCCAAATCACGCAAACCACATTCATCAATCGCGCCCTAGAAAGCATCCAACAGACTTTCTCTTCTAAGTACACCTCCATAATTTTCATCATGGCTTAAGATTTCATTGAAATCCCCAAAAATCACAAAGGGAAGCAAGCTACTAGCTTTTAACCGAGTCATCAGAGACCAAGTACGGACTTTATTTTCTTGCTCCATCCACCCATATATACCTACCGCTCTCCATTTCGGGATATCATTATGATCATAAACCTCCACCATAAAGTGATGTGAGGAATATGAAATTGTTTTTGCATTTATATCCTTCCACCCCCCGAATGGCCATTACTACTCAAGCATACCTCGTTAACAAATCCACACATACCTTTTATTCTTTCCAAACTATTCGCATCCATCATTGTCTCCATGAGAAAGACAATATTTGGCCTTTCCCTCCAACACCAATCACAGAGGGCTTTACACGTCCATACATGAATTACCGAGTCCATGGACGTTCCAGCTTAGTATTTTCATTGTTGTTCGAGGGAGTGGGATTTGCCACTACCCTCTAATTGAAATGTTTCGACATTACTCCTTTTCAGTTTTTTCTCCATCCCTTGGACATCTGAGTAGAACTTATGCATATCCTCATCAGATCTTTCCCCCCTTTTCTGCCCCACCATAGCTTCTTTATTCTCAGCATTCTTCTGACCATCCTCGCCCATGAGAATATCTCTACCCTCTTTAAACCAGATTCTACTACCCCTCTTCTTCTAATTTTTAACATTTCCAGTAGAGAACAAGAGAGTTTGTGTTCCTGAATCAACATTGGCAGCTTCCTCAAGTGTAGGATTTGGCATGTGTTGCGGCTGCTTAGCTGATACATCATTTACCACATGTAAACCCCCCTCTGTCACAGTATTCATCATCGTGCCTCCATCAAACTCACACACATCATGCACAACTGGGCCTATCTCAGAGCTTTGCAGTGTTTCCACCCCTTTAGGACATTCAACAGGGCCAGCCTTCTCCAAATTCACAAATTCTAGCTTTTTTGCTACTCCCTTCACACTTGCATTGGGAAGAGTTGCCTCCCCTCCTGACTTTCTTGTAACGTAAGATTTTCGGCCTACTGCTATTGACCTACTTGGACCCTGTGAGTGCTCTTTTTTCATAAACTGCCAAGATGACAAAACTCTTGCACTGTCATCAAAGATACGCTTGGGGGAGTTGTAACCAATATGGTTATCACAGTCCTTTTCCCCATGTCCTAGCATTCCACACACATAACAGAATAAAGGGAGTTTTTCATATGCCACTCTAAATCTTTCTTTCACACCCCCTTACATTTTTAATTCCACCCACCTTTTAATAGGTTTTCGTAAGTCAATTAGAGTTCTAATCCTCAGTGATTTATTGATTCCATCACCAAAAGATTTGTCAAGCTTAATGAAAGTACCAACCTTGTTACCAAGCGTTCTCGCATTGTCTTCATTCCCCCTCCCCTTGAAAGGGAGGTCATAAACTCGGATCCAAAAAGGAACTGAATGAAGGGGGGTATCCGATGGTTTGATCTCACCTTGGATATCACTCAGTACAATTGTATGGCGATCAAAGTGCCACGGCTGCTCTTCCCACACCTTCTCTTTATCCCTCCAGTGATGGAATTGGAAATAGAAGACATTCTTGTCGATGCAATTTGCTTCAAGACCATGTTTAGGGTTCCATAGTTTTGTCATCATAGAGATTAGGGCATTGGAGTTAACATTCCTATCCGTCCAAACCCTTCCCACAAGGGCAAGGGAAGTCCTCGCCTCCTCATCATCCTCATCATTGACAACCCATTCAATCTCCTCTTCCCTAACGCTCACCTTCTCATTCTCTGATCTTTCCAAATCTTCAATATTATCGACAACGCTATTGACAATAGGTAGATTAGAAGCCATAAAATCAAGTAAGAACTCTCGTAATCATGAGAACAATCCTTGAGAATAAACACTAGTAGAAAAATAGCAATAGGCAGCCCCCATATGGCACCGGTTCAGGCCAAACCGGTGGCCAAAACCGATCTAGAAATGGGCGGGATTTTAGAACTTTAGAAAAGGCACTGGTTTGGCCTGAACCGGTGCCAAAAATAAAAAAGGCACTGGTTTGAACCGGTGCCAATTGAACCGGTGCCAAATTTATAAAAAAAAATGCGGCCTTAGCATTTCTTCTCCTTCCTCTCTTTCTCTTTCGTTCATTCCTTCCTCACTATTTCATTAGAGCTGAGCGAAAACCAGGCCACCTTCAATCCTTCCTCTCTCTCCCTCCACCACAGCCGCCACCTTCACCGACCACCAGAGGTGTCGAAAACCTCCTTCAATAATCTTTCAAAGCTGCTGCCCTTCTGCATTCCCTTTCTTTCTCTTTCAAATTAAGCTGCTGCCCTACATAGTTCCTCCACCTGCATAGTTCGAAAACATCATCCACCAGGCTTGAGGTTCCTCCACCACCGAGCCGCGCCACCGCCCTTAGGCTCCTCCACCACCGAGTCGCGCCACCGGCCTGAGGGTCCTTCTCCATTTGTCGTGCCCTGCCCTGCGTCTCCTCCTCCATCTGTTGCCCTCCTTGTCTCCTTCCATTCAAGGTTTCCTTTTAATTTTTTTTTAACATTATTTTCCAATTATATACTTATATATATTAATTTGTTTTGCATTTTGAACCATTGTTAGCAAATTAAAATTTAGGTTTGAATATAATTTTTCTCAATTTTAGGTTTGAATATAATTGGGAAATTGTGAAAATATTAGAGATTAGTAACCTTGTTACTCAATTAGTTGGATTTTACACTAGTAGAAAATAAGTAATGGCAAGCAGTTCAAACCCCCTAATAGGAAGCGGTTCTGAACCGCATGCCTTTAGGGGGCTTGCCAATTGGTCTTTAAAATGGCAAGCGGTTCAGAACTGCTTGCCAATTGTAGTGAAAGGGCAGCGGTTTTGGCGCCAAACCGCTGCCCATTAGGGGTATTAAAAATAAAAATAAAAAAATAAAAAAATTTGGTTTTTTTCACTTAAATTGATACATAATCAAAATATATATAAAAACATTAATATTTTTATTAATTAATTGTTGTAATATTACAATTTCCGATTTTCAACAGCAAAAAAAATAAATTAACAAAAAAAAATTACAATTTCTGATTTTCAACAATAAATTAACCACCCCACACCACCAACCGCCAGCCACCACACCACTAGCCACCACCCTACACCACCAACCAACAGCCACCAGCCACCACCACCAGCCACTTACCCACCACGACCCCCACCAACACCAGAAAAGCGGCAAGCACCACAACCCACCATCACCCGTCCACCCACAACAACCCCCACCAACACGAGAACACTTGCCAACACCACCACCCACCACGACCCCCACCAACACCAGAAAAGCGGCCAGCACCATAACCCACCATCACCCGTCCACCCACAACAACCCCCGCCAACACGAGAACACCTGCCAACACCACCATCCACCACGACCCCCACCAACAACAAATCGACCTAAACAAACCAATTCAACCACCCATCACAATAAAATTAAAAAAAAAACTGAAAAAACAAAAAAAAAAGATTAAAAAAAGAAATACCTTGAATACCAACAAAAAAAATCAAAATTGGCTTTAAATTTGGGTTTAATGGGTCAAATTCGACCATAAAAACTCTAGATCTAGAGTTTTTATTGTCGAATTCGACCATAAAAACCCACACGCACCACCACCGGACTACCACCGTTTAACCCACACGAATGGTTCAAAAATCTATGCTCGAATTGGGTCGAAAATCCATGCTCAAATTGGGTCGAAAACCCACCGAACTACCACGGGATTTCACTGATCGGGAAAGGAAAGAAAGAGATGAGAGAGAAAGAGAAGGATATGGAGAAAGGAGAGATGATAAGATGGCGTGACAATGGAGGTGTGAGAGGAGAGAGAAGTGAGGGAGTGAATGAGAGGAGAGAGAGCGAACTGAGAAGTGAGCTAGAATAATAGGGGCGAAAGGGGAGAGAGGTCGTGAGAGGATATTATGGGATTAGGGTTTGTGAATTGTAATCCCGCTTTTTTTTTTTTAAATGGCAAGCGGTTTGGAGTTGAACCGCTTGCCAATATATCTAATGGCAAGCGGTTCAACCCAAACCGCTTGTCATTATATATATTGGCAAGCGATTCAACCCCAAACAACTTGCCATTTAATATTACAGGTTTATTTAAAAAAAATTGGGTAAATGGCAAGCGGATTTTTAAAACCGCTTGCCATTTGGGGCTTCCCATCACTTATTTTCTACTAGTGTTATTATGTTTTAATGGTTAATTTAATGTGTTTTGGTGGATAATTTTGAAATAATTATAGAATATATATTAACCTTGGTACTTAAATAGGTGAAATTTGGTATGTTACTTCTAATGGTTAATTTGAAGTTGTTTTGATGGATTATTTTGAATAAATTAGAGATTAGTGAACTTTGTTATTAAATTAGTTGAATTTTGGAATGTTTAAATGGTTAATATTAAGTTGTTTTGATGGGTATATTTGAATAAATTTGAGATTAGTAACCTTGCTTGTTACTAACGTAGATGAATTTTGGAATGGGTGAATGGTTACTTTTAAGTTGTTTTGACGGGTAATTTTGAAAAAATTAGAGATTAGTAACCTTGTTAGTTTAGCAATTGTTAGTTCGATGAATGATGTGTTTTAGCTTATAAATAAATTAGTGAATTGACATGTTATGAGAAAGATATAGTACATACCTAATATTTAACCTAATTTTTGTTTAATGTTTTTTTTTAATAGATTTGTGAATTGAAGCACGAGTTTAGCTTGAGGACTACATATTGAGCTCAAGTGGGTAGTTGCTATATTGGTATGACTTGTAAACTTTACTTAGCTATATTTCTTTCTATTTATCCATTTAATAAAAGTTTATTCATGAAATTGCAACTTGTGTATTGTTTAATTGCAAATAAATACAACAATATGTAGAATACTTGCATCATCATATGCCTAGATACCCGTTCAAGGCTTTCTCATTAGGAGAAAGTCTTGAATAGTCCCCGGTTGGGACTGTTCTTGAATGTGTACTCTCACTTAGGTGGTGAATGTATGTTTTCTTTTCGATTTTAAGGAACATCTTGGCTTATCATTTCCTCACTATGTTCTCTTGGTACATATGTGGGTAATTAATTATCTACATCGTGTACTTGGAGAACTAGGGGAAATGCTGCCGAATTTTCCTTAAAATTGGAAAGTTGACATACATTCACTAGTGAGAGTAGACATTCAAGGATGGGTTAGGTTGGCGTGATAAGGACCCTTTGAAAACATGCATTTTTTCACTATATGAATGGTATATTCACGTTTTGTACTTGAATTTGATTTACATAAAATATGTAGCAATTACACATTATTCATTATATGTTGCAATATATGTTTAGAGACAATTTACTAAATGGAGAATGATCGTGGTTGGATGTATGGTAGACGCGATACATTGGAATTTTGGAATGGGGTTCAAGAGTTTTGCGAGAGGGCTTTAGCTTATCAACGCAAACTGGGTGGCAAAGGTCTTTATTGTCCTTGTGTTGATTGTAATAATGTGAATGTGGTCGATAGTGTTGAAATCATTAGAGATCATGTATTATGTCGTGGGTTTAGACATTTATTTTAGGCGGGAGACTATTTTAGGCACCGGTTAACCGGTGCCCAAAACAGTTAAAGGCACCGGCTAACCGGTGCCAAAAAGGGTATATTTGGCACCGGCTAACCGGTGCCAAAAAGGGGGGTATTTGGCACCCCCCACATAGAATGCGGTTCAAATCAGTACCTTAGACCGGGTTTGAACCACTGCCAAAGCCCTTTTTTCACCTAGTGAAAGGAAAAACTAGCCAGAATCGCTAGATGAGACACCCTCCCAAGGAAAACCTAAAGGGAAAAAAGAGTTACATTTTTCATTATGGACATACATCTTAACTATATATTAAAAGACGTTCTTAAAATTGTTATGTGTCATATATGCTTCTTCTTAGAAATTTGAACCCCGAACCTCATTAAATGAAAACCATATGTATTACCATCTTAGCTAGAAATGAATCATGTTTCATTAATCCACATTTGTATTTAACTACGTACATACAAGTATTAAAATGTACAATAAAAAAAAATCCAAAATAAGTTATTGTTGTTATTGCATTCTAATTTACTTACAATAAAAAAATAATAATAAAAAAAATCAACAAAGCTTTTAAATAATTTAATATAAAAAAATGAAAATATTCAAAGTACGACTCGAAAAAAACGCCTAATTACAAGTGCTATTTTAAGTCTCGTTTGAATTATTGTATGTTTACGTACTCGTATTAGATATATTTTAGGTCACTTAAAATAAGCCTAATTCGTTTTTCAGTTTTTCTAACATATTTTCATGGACACACATTAAGAAAATAGATTTTGTATAACTATTTAATGACAAGAAATATCTATAGATTTTTTTTTAAAAGTACGTTTAATATATTGAAAAACCGTGGTCATTTATTTAGTATTTTTGGTGAGCTATCAATTATTGTTTGCAACTTGCATTTACTGTTTGGTGAGGAAATTACACATATACCCCTCAACTAGAATATGAAAAGACACATGTACCCCTCCACTAATACTTGAAAAGACGATTATACCCCCAGATTTTGTTTATCTGGGAAATTAACTGGGCACAACTTAAAAAAAAGGGGAGTCATTTTTTAAGTTAACATGGGAGGTCAACGTCAGAGAAAAAAATCACGTCAGAGAAAAAAATTAATTATTGTCGGATTTCGACCTCAAGGTCCCCCCAAATAACAAAATTAACTTATAAGGTTCTTTTAGAACACTTTAAACATATAAAATCATTTTAGAAAACTTTAAACATATAAGGTCCTTGCAGACAAAATAGTGAACATATACGAATTATGTCACTTCTAGACAAATTTTCCTTTTATTTCAAAAGATTTGTTAAAGTGACTTTTACTCTGAGTAAAATTGAAACACACATTTAGAGTAAAATTATAGTCGGCACGTTTGACGAGTGCAACTATAATTTTACTCTGAATGTGTGTTTCAATTTTTATAACCTTAATATTAGAAATTCATTAAATTGTTGTTTAAGTTCAATTTGAACAAATATTTAATCAACACTTGCTCTTTAAAACTTTGATTTTTTTTTTTTTTTTAATGGGACTTGTAGTTAAAGAAATGTTAATATCGACATATTATGTTTGACTTGTTAACCACACATTCATGATCATAGTTTGGGACATTTAGAAGTGTTAACATTGTGATTATAGGAAACCTGCATAGATCAGGTACATATTTTAGGGAGTATATTAGTTTTCCTAAGATTAGCGTCAATAAAACTGGTGCTTCATATAAATAATGATGCTGTATTGCAATAGTTTCATAATATCTTAAAACAAGCAAACATATTAGTCAGGACCTTTAGCCTTCCGGTTAAGAGCAAATCAGATTAATGCTTCATTGCTAGGATACGTGATCAGGCCAGACATACTCATATGATTTATCTAATTCTAAAGTTGAGCTTGCTCTACAACAGGGGCTGATGGAACCAACTGCTGAAGCTGATGAACAACATGAGACATTCGGGGCCTCATTGAAGGTAAGTTTTGAGTGCAAGAATAGACAAGGTCAACTACTTTCTGAATTGCTCCGGCCTCTGGAATCTCAGAGGATGAGCTTGATATGACAGGATCTAGTAAGTCTGGATAGCGATGGGACTGTACAAGGGTTGTAGCCCACTCGAATATACTCTGCAAACTACCTGAATCATCAGCCTGGGCAAGACGACGCCCGCTCACAATCTCAAGTAGCAGGACTCCAAAGCTATACACGTCACTTTTTGTTGTAAGCTCATTTCTATAGACAAACTCTGGAGCAAGGTACCCATGAGTTCCACCAGCCATTACAGTCCTCTCTTGCATAACTTCCCATGGCACAAACTTTGCGAGTCCAACTCCCATTAGATGTGCTCCAAATTCTTCATCGAGAAGCACATTGCTTGCACGAATGTCTCGATGCACAACTTGAGGCTTGACCTTGTCATGTAAAAATCTATTATTGGCATAAGTAGAACAATCAGTTTCAGAAACCAAGCTGAGATTAAAATTCCATAGATTTTTTGCAAGGAAACAAATACTTCGTATAATTTACGCCAAACATCTATTTACATAAGATACATACTATAAAGTTACTGTGACTTTACAAGGCATGGACACTGTCTAACATCTATGACAAGTCTCTGCCAAAAGATCCCACAAAAGAACAACAACCAGGATACTCAGTAAATGAACTAGTGTGATGAATATTCTTTTCCACACAGAAATAACAGCCTAACAAACAACCAGGATACTCAGTAAATGAACAACAACCAAATATAATCTAAACAAAAGCCAGCGTGATGAATATTCTTTTCCACACAGAAATAACAGCCTAACAAACTAGTGTTGCTTTACTGAATTGCCCCTCCAGTGGAGCTAACAGAATTTGGCACCTTTTCCTTGCGTGCATACGCGGACCAGCAGTGGTGGTTTAAGTGTCATGCATCCAAACTATTTTCTTTTTAAAAAAAAATAATAATATAACTAATAATTGGTTCATCAAAGATTCAAAGTATAATTATCATTCTCTTAGTTGATAAAGGAACTTAATTCAGCCATGAAAATTAAAAACCAAAGCCATTAAATCATCACCATGAAAATACTCAGAGCAAAAACACAATACACAGCACAAAAAAATAAATAAATAAATAAAGTAAAGAGCCAAAGCATGGATATGTAAGAGACGAAGTCGATCTTATAAGCATATGGAAAGCGGAGACAACAGGTAAATGTAGACCTAGTGAGCGGCTACTTGACTTATAGGTTCAGCCAAATAGAAGAGAAAGCGAAATTGAGATATAAATAGCACGTCTTCAACACCACAAATTCAAACCGCCAAATTAAAAACCCTATCTAGAAAAATAAATAAATAAATAAATAAATATAAATAAATAAATAAATAAAAGTAAAGAGCCAAAGCATGGATATGTAAGAGACAAAGTAAATCTTATAAGCATATGGAAAGTGGAGACAACAGGTAAATGTAGACCTAGTGAGTGGCTACTTGACTTATAGGTTCAGCCAAATAGAAGAGAAAGCAAAATTGAGATATAAATAACACGTCTTCAACACCACAAATTCAAACCGCCAAATTAAAAACCCTATCTAGAAAAGAAAAAGGAAAAAAAAAGAAATAGGCTGCAAAGAGATAGAACAGGTCTGTTAATTTTTTTTCTTTTTTTTTTTTTTGGGCAGGCAGGTACATGGTAGGTTGGTAGCAACTAGGACTCCAACATATATTACCTACGCTCATACGAGCATTAGTCACCGATAATATAATGACTCATACATTGAAGAGGTACCTTGGAAGGATTTGTGTGCACGTACACCCCAATAATTGTCTCAGGCCATGCTTTTATACATGTGTTCCCTTTCTCTTTTCTTTTTCCTTTCTTCTAGGTGCTCCCCCACCCCCCAAAACAGTGGGGTATCAGTGGGAAGGAGGAAGGTTTAGACTAATCATTGTTTGTCTTGCTGATCTCGTTGTAGGTTACACTTGCCGACTAAGAAAGCAAAGATGGAGATAACATTTATACATTGACATGCTTGATCAGTCTACCAGAAGCATTTCCAGATCAGTGTAACCTTCTACTGAGGACCAACGTTTATAAAGTCTAGCATGACATTCATATTATGTATTCAATACATATAATAATCGGAAAAGAGGATCATTTATAATTGTATAATGGCATCAAAGCAAGTAAAGTGAATATGAACTCACGCGATTCCTTGGGCAAGGGTTGTGGCAATTTTCATTCGCATAGGCCAGCTTAAGCATCTACCACCTCTTGGAACATGGTGCAGCCACCTATCAAGAGGACCATTCACTATGAATTCATAAACAATATAGCGATGACCATGGTTAAAACAGCACCCTTTTACAGATACCAGACTTGGGTGATGAAGCCGTGCAACTCTCCCAACTTCAGAATAGAACTCTTTTTTCCTTTGGTAATTGGACCTTTTCAATTTCTTAATCGCCACCTTTGAACCATCAGCTAAAATGCCACTATATGTACCTCCTGTCTTGGATTCTCCAGGAAGACGATTTCCCTCACTGAAATTCTTTGAAATAGACTTCAGCTCTTCAATTGTGAAGACCTTCCAGGATGGAGGCACTAAAGATGATGCTACTAGATTTGATTGCCTACGGGACCTTCTACGCCTTTTACTTCGTCTGTAGACAAGTAACCAAACCACAACAGCTAATGTGGCACAGAGAATCCCACCACTAACAACTGCTAGGATAATTATATACAAGTTTTGGCACTGTCCTCCATAGCATTGGTTTTCTACACAAAAATGATGCATTTATTACAATTGAAATTCAAAAAACATTCAAGCATTAAATGGCATGCAGTACTTCCCAAATTCACAAGTTACGAGAAATCAAGCACTGACTTTTAAATGGTAAACCATTCTTCATGCTTCTTCCTGATATGAAATAAAGTAATAAAAATAACAAAAACTTGTGAAAAAAATATGAGAGGTAGCCCCTGAAATTTCTAGTGAATCTACAAGGATGTATGTACTAAATAAAAATTGTTTATCAATTATCTTAAACAACATAAGGTGCAAAAGCACAGAAATCAACCTAGAAAAAAGCGCACATAGGCACTCGCCTTTTGTTGGTTTTAAGCCTTGCAGAACTAGGCCTAGTCACGCCTAAACCACAATTTTTAAAGCTAAGGTTGGAAGAGGTTGAAAAGACTCTGTAAGGGGCTTGATAAGCAATAGAAAGACTGGCATAAGGATAAGATTTCACATCACGATAGATACCGGAATATCAACACCAATAACCTATTCACCATGAGGACGAGGTGGAAATTTGTGTGCTCGGTAAAGTTATGAATTTTCCTAAGGGATAAAGCATTATAGGTAGCGCATTATATATACTCGTAGTATCATGATGAGGAAGATAGTCAGTCAGTCAAAGGGAAATGAGAATCTAAAGATGTTATAAAATAAAGGAGAGTAGGCAAAGAAAAAAGCATCGAGCAAGTCATATTAGATTTGTTTAGCTCATGGGAAAGAATCAGGCCACTTGAATGCTTGATCAATTATCCTAAACTAAATGTATTTCCACTTAATCAATCTTAATCTTTTTTTCAAAAAAAAAATCAATCTTAATCTTCTTCCTTTAATTTATTATCCAATTATGCAGTTCATAAATAACCAAAACAAGATCGATTAACAAATATCGACACAATAATGCTAAATTGGATACATTAGATTTTACCTCACCCAAACAGGGAGGTAGAAAGCAAAAGGAAACAGATTTTTTTAAAAAAAAATAGGATCAGAAAGACATAAACTTTTGGCAACTTGTCAAATAAGGTGCGGAAACACGTCAAGAGTTACAAAAGCTATAGAGAGAATATGTGGAAAGTTGATTTTTATTTGCAGCTGAGTGTGTGAATCATAGCTGAGTAAACATGAAAACGTTGAATCAATCGTGTTCACTATATTATAATTATTTATCAAGAAGAAAAAACACTCCCATGAGTGGAATAGTATTTTTATAAATACTTTCATGTTAAAAAGTCAAAGCAATCATCAATAGATTTAGAAAAAGTAGTAAACCCTTGCTCCTATTTGTTGGTTAACCTTTTGATTTAGTGCAACTTCCTTTTCATTTTGTTTTGGTTGATTAAAAGTGAGTAAAAAAATAAAAGGAAATTTTGTCAGATAACACCTTTTATAACCCTTTTGTTGTGAAAAAACACCTTATAATTTTTTTTTGTTAAAACACACCTAAAATAAGAATTTTTTTGCGAGAACACACCTTAGAGCGGTTTAAGGGAGATTGACTCGGTTTCCCGGCGTTGACCATCACGTGAAGGTCACGTGCCAATACTCTTTCTTTCTTTTCCCCCCTTTTATCTTCAATTACTTTCTCTCTCCTCTAAACCACCAAATCACAACCTAGCCGCCAACAACAACACCACCGCCTAGCCAACCCTATCGCCAACACCACCAACTACCAAGCTAGCCGCCAACACCTGATCACTAGCCACTTGAGAAAACCTCTTCCTCTCTTTTTTTCCCCTTTCCCCTCTAATTAGACTACTTTCTCTCTCCTCTTTTCTTCCTAGCAACAAACCTTCAAAGTCTATCAATCGAATGGGTTAACTCCATTTTTTGCTCAAATTGCTGCAAAGAACCTTAATTAACCTAATTGTGAGGCAGGTAAGTTGTTAAATTTAATAAAATTAATTGTTAATTTCGTCGTTTTTTTTATTTACCTTAGTTTAGGGTTTTCGATTGGAGGTATGAAAGGGGGAAAAACCACTACCAACCCTCTTCTCTCTCTATTATTTTGTTTTAGGGTGTTAAGGGTTTTTGTCAAGATGTTTGAGGTTGTTTATGAGATGGTTAGGGGTGTTTATGGAGATGCTTAGGGTTTTTTTTGGGTAGTTTTCATGGTGGATCTTGTGGTTTTGGTGGGTGTTGTATGGTGTACGTGGTGGGTTTAGAATGATTTGGATGGCTGGTGATGGCGGCTAGGTTGGTAGGTGGTGGTGTTAGCGGTGGGTTGGTTAAACGGTGGTGTCGGTGTTGGCGGCTGAGTTGGCTAGGTTGTGGTTGGTGGTCTTGAGGAGAGAGAAAATAATTGGAGAAAAAAGGGGGAAAAGAAAGGAAGGTTGTCGGCACGTGACCTCAATCCCCCTAAAACCGCCCTAAGGTCTGTTCTCGCAAAAAAATCTTGGTATTAGGTGTGTTTTAACAAGAAAAATTTTATAAGGTGTGTTTTCACAATAATTTGGTTTTAAAAGGTGTTATATGACAAAATTTCCAAAATAAAAATGTGGGATTTCATTAATTAAAAGTGGGCCAATTGACCAATTTGGTAAAAAAAAACACCTTATGCGACAAATTGGTAAAAAAAAAACGTCAGGCGACAATTTGGTAAATAAAAAGCACCCCGACGACAATTAAGCCAATAATTTGATCGGAGTATCATTTATGCAACGTGTGTTACACACACTACATACTTGAATTTATACTACTACCAATTTTCTTATTTTCTTGATTTTCCCTCTCATTAATGCTCTCAACTTGAACCCTCAACTTACCCAGTTCATCTTCCAAAATATTAAAAAAAAAAAACAAAAAAACTCACATTTCTTTAATGGTTGTCCCTTTCCCTTCCATCCCGTAGACTACAGCTTGTTTTGATACCTTTCCATATGTCCTTTACCCATCTAAATTGAAGTGATGACAAGGAAAAGCAATTCAATTTCTTAAAGAAAGAGCACTAAGTAAACAAATTGAAGACCCATAAACTTTTACTTTCAGTGAAGAAAGGTGAGTCCTTGTAATTGACATAAATTACTTGAGTAATTTAATTGATAGGTATAATTAATTAAATAATTAGAGTGTAATTTGCAATTTAAGTTGTGCAATTAGAAATATATGATATTTGACTTTGTTTTTAGGGCTTTTGTTAATTGTTTAATTTTTTTGATGTTGCTAAGGTTAAGGTATTGTAAACATTTAATTACCAAAAATGTTAATAAACTTTGTTGACGAGATGAATGAATTTGGTTTTGATACTCGTATTTTTGTATGTAGATGTATGATGATAGACATGAGGTTGCTAGTATGAATGGATTGTTGTCGACAAAAAATTTGGCAGAACTAAGTCCAAAAGGTGGTAAGAAGCAATCAAGTAGGTCCACAAGTCAACACCCTAATGAGATTAGCCCAAATGATATTTCCCCGTACGTCATGATGTAAAGCCACAAGTTGTTCCACATACTGTTTCACCTATATTTGAAGATGATGCCATATCTTCATCCTCTTTTGATGATGACTCGGCTTAAGATGAAAATTATAAGATGGATCCAAGAGAATTGAAAGAGGCATATCTAGATGAAGAAGGACAATGTAACAAAAACCGTAAGGTGAACGAGTTTGGTGGAACACAACCGATCGAACACTTGGGGCAGGTTAATAAGGAGGGTGAAAATGATGTTAATGAGGAATATCATTATGATTCTGAGAACTCAGATCAGTGGGATGAAATTCTAGCCGAGGAGTTAGAATATGATGATGATGAGATGATTGCAATTAGAGAAGAGGTGCTTGAAATGAGAAGGGTTCAATTAGCATCTAAATGGCCTGATAATGATACTGAAAGGATTCATAATAATTTTGATGATAATATTCCACAAGCCGAAGGAGTCGATGAAACAAATGTCGATGATGAGGAGATACAACCTGAAAGTTACAGTAGACATTTAGCAGGGGGGAGTGGGAAATGGCCAGCCTATTGGACAACCTTTGAAGGCGGGTATGAATCTGATCAAAGAAATTCAGATAAGGATCCACTACCATCATCTGAAGACGAAGATAGGAATGATACTCATGTTCAAAAGAGAAGAAAGAAGGTTGCTTATCCTACATTCAATGAGAAGATAGACATGAAAAGTGTGGAGTTGTTTGTTGGATTGAGATTCACTTCAGGAGAAGTTTTTAAAGAAGCCATTCTTGCATATTCAATTCAACAACACCAAGACTTGGTCTACCTTAAAAATGACAAAAAGTTTATTAGTGTAGGTTGTGCACATTGCAGGTGGGAAATCACCAACCTCGAAGACCATACCGGATGGCAAATCAAGTCCATGCAACCAGTTCATGAGTGGTGCACCAAGACCTTTGAAAATAGACTTATAACTGTGAATTGGTTAGTTAAGGAATATTTAGACAAAATTCTGAGAAATCCACTTATTAAGGTGTTGAGATCAAGGCTGATATGAGAGCAAGATATGACATTGTTGTAGGCTTGAGACAATGTCAACGAGCAAAAGGAAGAGCTCTAAATGCTGTCCAATGTTTGATGAATAAACAGTATGGTATTTTAAAGCCATACCTGAATGAATTGGTGAAATCAAATCCCGGAACCACATGTGTTTTGAAAACTGTTGAAGGTGAGCCCGGACAGCCAAAACAGTTTCTCAAGTTCTATATATGTTTGAAGAAGAGCTTTATAGAGACTTGTAGACCTATAATTGGAGTCGATGGATGTTTTTTAAAGCATGCTTGTGGTGGCCAATTACTATGTGCAGTTGGGAGAGATGGAAATAACCATATGTTCCCTGTTGGGTGGGCTGTGGTTGAGAGGGAAACTACTAGTACTTGGGAATGGTTCTTGAAGCTAATATATGAGGATTTGAAAATGGAAGAAGGTGATGGTTGGACAATAATTTCTGACCAACAAAAGGTATGTAAATATGACCTTTTTTTTTTTGTGATAATGTATGATCTATAACTTAAACTCAAACTCATTTGTAGGGGTTGGTGAATGCAATACACAACATTTGGCCGAATATAGAACATAGACAATGTGTAAGACACATATACACCAATTGGAGGAAGAAACACAAGGGTAAGCAATTGGAGAAACAATTTTGGAAATGTGTTAAATCAACTAGCCCCGGTGAGTACGAAACTCATTTGGCAAAACTGAAGGTAATGTCAAAACAAGCACATTTGGATTTTGAAGCAAGAAACACCGAAACATTTTGCAAGTCTAAATTGAAAATTCACTCTTCTTGTGATGTAGTTGACAATAACATGGCAGAAACCTTTAACAGTTTTATTCTTCTAGCTAGGTATAAACCCATAGTAACTATGCTAGAGGATATTAGGCTTGCATTAATGGAGAGAATGAGGGCAAAAAAAAGACTCGTGAACACATTTGTTGCTGGAATTGCACCTAGGATTAGTCAATAGTTACAAGAGTCTTATGAAGAGCAGAATAAATGTGACTGTAGATGGAATGGTGAAGATTGTCAAACAGGGTTTGAAGTAATCCACAGAGGAGTTGGGCGGGCATGCTGTTGACCTTCAAAAAAGAACTTGCAGTTGTAGATCTTGGGATTTAACGGGCATACCATGTGCTCATGCTATGAGTGCAATATTATACATGAAACACCAACCTGAAGACTACTTAGCACATTGGTATAATGCTGCAACTTATGAGAAAACATATCATAATCTGTTGCAACCAGTTCCAGGGAGTACATTTTGGAATCAAGAAGGAGAAGGTTTAGTGTTGCCACCTCACATCATCAACAAAGGTCCTGGAAAAGGAAAACTGCCAGCCTATTAAGGAGAAGAATAAATACAACAGAAAGGGGATGCCAAACAAGTGCTCAAATTGTAGAGAACCTGGACATTACAAAAACAAATGTCCACAACCTGCCAACCTGAGAGGGTAAGGATAAGTAATATATATGTATATATACTGTATATTTTTTACCTTAATATATTCATAATATGCTTACTTACACAAGTAATATGTTATGTTCCTTCGTAGGAAAATGGTTCAAGTGCAGGTGCTAAAACATGGGCAAGAGGAAGGAAAAAAGGAGGAAATAACAGAGTAGGAAGAAGTATACCAGATGTGTTCAAACGAATGTTCCAACCCCATTAGACTATGCTAACCAAACTAGAAAAGGGTAAGGAAGATCACAGCACTCTTCTTGCACTGGTCGTGGGTCTACCTCGACGCCATGGATGGAAGCAAGAGCACCACTTGAGGGAGAGGAAAGAAGGGAAGAGGAGCACCACTTGGGGTTGGTATTTTGTATGGAGATGGGGGCCAAGTTTCCTTCAGTGGCTCTATATATACACCACCAATTGTCCTAAGTCAAGGCCAAATTCCATCTCAACCAACTCAATAACAAGCTGCCTGGATTGCAAACTTGATGTTTAAGTGTTTAATTTCGGCCAATAGTGCAGATGGTGTCGGTGTTTTGTTGTTTTGAAGTACTGGAAGTCAATTTTTTGGGAGATGCCATTATTGTAATTGGTTGTGTTGTCCTTATTTTGCTTTAGTACTTATTGCATGTGGTCACATTTTGAAGAATAAGATTCTTGCTTTTTAATTCAATGACAGAACTTTTTCAAACCACTCAAATTTATATTTTAATCTTTTTTTTTCCCATTTGTCTTTCATAATTTGTATATATATGTATGTGTGTGAATTAATTATTGTACCTCTATTACAGTAATTTAATTGTAGGCATCACATAAATATTTAACTAATAATATCTTAGATTCTCAAAAGCTAAAATAAAAGAAGCCAAAAGAGGAGTGGTACAGGAAACCGAGTAGTTGGGGAATTAAGTAAAGGAAATTAATTAAGAGGGAAAAAAGAGAAAAAATATATGATAAGAAGGGTATGAGACGCTTAAAACAAGTGTGTATAATACGCGTTGACTAAATGATACTCCGATCAAATTATTGGCTTAATTGTCGTCGGGGTGCTTTTTATTTACCAAATTGTCGCCTGACCTTTTTTTTTTTACCAATTTGTCGCATAAGGTGTTTTTTTTTTACCAAATTGGTCAATTGGCCATTAAAAGTGGGTAAAAACATATGATATAAGGGTTTATTTAATTAAATGTGGGTTAAAAAATAAGACAGTGATGTGAATCAAGAAATAAATTCTTTGAAAGGGTCTGCCTTTTTAGAAGGTCTAGATAACTTTAATATAGGCTACCCAAACAAGGAAAGAAATGCATCATTTATTGTTTTTACTTAGTTTCTTCTAGAATTTTGCTTGCAAGTTTTAACTTTCACTTGAAAGGGTTTTTCTTAGTTTAAGCGCTTAAGCTTTATTTTATCATCTAGTTTATAAGTTTCCTTATGTTTCTACGATTTTGTTAGATTTCGTAGAAGTCTAGGAACTACAGATACGGACTTGAAGCTCAAAGAAAACATATGCCTTATAACATGTTTTTGGAAATGCCAGGATATCATCTAACCAATGGAAGTGGTTTCACAAGACTCGGAGTTCATTTAGTCAGTGAACGAAGGCTAAAACTAAAATCGCAAAAATTGCCAAGTAGGTTGGTTTTGATAGTTTCCTAATGTAAGTAGGTTTAGTATTCCTATTCCACTTAGGTTACTTGGAGCTAAAGCTAGGGGCTTGTCCTAGTCCTATTAGGCTTAGAATTAGTTAGTTTTTTTGTCTATAAATAAGGGATTTTTGTGGCTTTGTAATACATAACAAGTACACAAAATTCAGCATAATAAAAGTTGATTGTTTAGCTTTTGCTTAAACGTTATTTGCTAGTTTTCAATTCAAGGAGTTGATTGAAGATTAGAATATCAAACACTTAGTATCTAGGAGTAGGCTAAGAGTTTAATCTCATAATAATTAGCATCCAAAAGTGGTTTAATTAAATTTGGGAATTCGAATTATAAGTTTAAGAAGTTATCTTGTGAGGAGAAATATCGGTTTGTTTATATTCGATATTCAAGAAATTATTCAAGATTGGATTTTTATTACAGAATTGTGGGTTTTCTAAAAACTTGACTAAACAAGGGGTTGAGATCCACATCAAACAGTTTGGTTAAAGTTGATTAATAATGAATAAAGTACTCGTGGAATTACAAGTTCTAGGTGTTATTGACTTATTGTTACATGTTAACATTTCAAGAATTGACGTCATTAACCCTGACACCCAAAAACCATGTTCTCAAAAATCTACATTCCTAATATTATTCCTCAAAGGTATTCTCACACATTTGTATCAACATCTGCATCTCTACTACACTTATCTTCTTAACAAGTCCCTTAATTGCGAACATTTTTGACCCATGAAGTAATATAAGTCTAATTGTCCATCCCATAAATTTTCCTTATAACCTTAAAGGCAGCAAATCAGCAATGATCACATATTAACCCATGAGCTCCCAAATCAGTTCTATGTGTTACATCCTCATCTATATTTCCACTTTTTTGTAAAATCGGTACGAGGTGATAATATTGTTCACCAATAGTTAACCCATTCTTCGTACTCCTACTTAGCCAAAACCCTCAAGATTCTAAATTATGTCTCCAACATTCCAACTCAACATTAATCCCAAGCACTAGCCTCATCCACCAATTTGATATCAAACAAAAATAACACACACCACGGTGTCTTATCTTGGATACACCTTGTAACTTTATCCAAAAAGCTACAAAGAGCTGGGGTTGATCATTTGATCTTCATTGTAAACTAATCATTATAACAAACCCTTGATATCATATCCTAAACTAGGTCAATATACTTAGGTGGTATTCCTTTCTTCGTCATTTTCCCACCGAAGCCCCTATCTTAGACTCTTGGTACCTAGTCATATATCTTTTCTAAAGTCTTAGCAATCCATTCTAAAAAAAATAGCAGGAGAATAGAATGGAGTTTAGGAATAGGAAATCAATTTTGAAATGATATTTAATTGAGAAATTGGTTTTAATATGTACTTTCCATGCTCATACACTTCAATTTTGGTTTTTAATTTATATAACTATGGTACACGTGTCCCTTGAAATTTATATCTTATAAGGCTAGGTGGCAAAGAAATACACATGACCTCACTAGTTTCCTTTCAACTGAAACCCTTTTTCAATTCCTTTGACAAAATTAGAACTGCTCAGGCTTTCCACAAGATACAATTCCTTTCCTTGTAAAGAAATTTCTACCAATATGACTTGCTCCTCATTAGCACCTATTACTCTCATATCTCCTTGGAATGAAAAATTAGTCATCAGCAGCCAAAATAAATGACTAATTTTTTCTGCATGTTCTCTTAAGCAGATAGAATAAACTCTTGCACATTTTCTGGCATATGGTGCCTTTTTCATATAAAACCTACATGCTTGCTTTAGTCATGTTCATGGAGTTTGGGGATTCTGGATAGAATGTACAACTAAGATGAAGTTATGTGGCGCTTTCATTTGTTTGTTGCATTTGGTTAGACCATGATGTAAGCACTTTTGGCAGTCACACAGAGATTTTTATTTTTTTTATTTTTTTTTTTTAAATAGTGAGTTGCATTGGTGTGACTGATTTTCATTACAATAAGATGGCATGCAATATCTGTTGTCTATTTTAAAAATACTACAAATTATGCAGTAAACATTTTTAAAGACTATGTAGCATTTGTCTATTTGAAGGTAAATAATTATCCTCTATACCCTTCTACCAATGCAATTCCAAAGAATATTCCTGAAGGAAGGTGCCAAGGCTAACACAGGACAAGACAAGAGAAAATTGATAAGACAGAGTCAAGCCATACCTGTATCAACTGTGCAAATAAAAGCATGAGAATGGTTGCATCCTACAGCTTTAATGGGCACGGCCCCATAGGACAACAAAGAACATGAATCACTTCCATTATTGCAGGACAAGTTGCCACAATTTGATCCATGCTGCACCTTGGGTAAAAAGGAGTCATTATGCAGAGAATTATGATCAGACCACATCCAACTGTGCCCAGAAGTAGATTGTCCTCGTAATCCAATCCAGCAACCATCAACATTAATTCTACACAGGTCTTGAACAAATTTCAGCTCTTGAAGCGATGACACAGATGCTAAGTGTCCTCTATGGTCCTTACAATAGGCCTCTGACTCATCCCAAGACTTTAAGTCTGATATGCACTTGAAGCATTTAGTCTTGTTTTCATTGACAATCCAATCAGACAGGCAATGCCCTACATGCAGGTTATAGAAAAAAGATACTAGTAACATCAGATATTAATACCAACAGCTTTAAGCAAACGGTAACAACAAATATGATAACCCACAATTTTATTTACAAAAAAAATAACAAAAACAAGTGAATGAATAAAAAAGAGAAGGAAAAGTCACACCAGCATTACTGCATTAGTTATCATTCTCTCACAAATTATTACAGTGCACTAAGTACTCATTCTTGGACTCACATTACAAATTGAAATAAGGATATCACATAAAACTTTGGTACCTCAATTGATGTTTTCATACACTTGGTATCTCAATTGAAGTTTTCATGATATTTTTGTCATACACGTACATATATCACATTTGACTCAAAATTTAATGCATATACAATCGTAAAGGCATATCTCAACATATGCAATTTGTAGATTGTATCTTTTTGGCCGAAGAGAGTTAAAGTTGAGTGAGCTTTTATGTTGTACAGCAGTTATTAAAAAAAATCATGAATGCCACATCATTTTTCTTGCATATCGTAGTTTACTCCACTTCCTAGAAGCACAAGAGAAGTTCACCTGCCAAAAACTAACTTCTCTTGCATAATCAAACTATCCTACCATAAGCAAATATCACATTTCCTATAATATCCGAAATAAAGGTTAGAAAGACTCACAACTCAATTTTATAATATGCAAGCATATATATTGTACCTGCTTTATGTGAAGCAAGCAAACTCCGGTGATGACGAGGCCGGGCCCATCCCTGATCACCGGCAGGAGGGGCAGCCGCCCCAGGCCCAGGGAAAATAGGTTCATTTTCATGATTTTGTTCTGACATCAATGGGTAGTTTACACCAAAGCCTGCTGCACATTAGCAACCAAAATTGACTCAATCATCAAAGTAAAGTTGACTCAATCATCAAAGTAAGCTCCAAAAATTTCGTTAAATTCATCTAAGAACATGAATAGCAAAATTCAAACAACGAGATCAACGCTTGTTATAATCTTTCATAATTCTAGAATTTATAACAAATTGTAGTTCAATAATTCACCGAAGAACCCTAAATTGACTACACTGACAATTAAATTAACAATTGACTAGATTGTAAAATTGATTCCAAGATTATAAATAGCAGTAGTAATATAAATAATCTTAACTCATGAAATGGGAGAGAAAGCTCACAAGTTGTTTCAATGGAGAATTCAGAGTACGAATGAGTGGAGGAGAAGAGAGAGGGGAGTGGTGCAGCTACGCAGCTTAAAGGTGAAAAGACTGAAAACTGAAACGATCAAAATGGGTAAAAAAGGAAATATAGTTGAAAAACATTAAATGACAATCAATTTTGTCAAAAGTAATCAAAATCCTATTATGAAATATGAGGAAGTTTTATCCACCCCTGTGCGGCCGTGCCCAATATTCAAATAAAATAATACTATTTGAAAAAAAGGGGAATTATGAAAGGATGGTAAATGAAAATGAAGTTGGGTAAAAAGAGAGGAGTGAGGAGAGAGAAGTTACCTTCCCCCTTTTTACTTCATTTTCCCGCAAATTTCATCTCCGACGTCAGTGTAAGAGAGACATATTGGTTGCGCCGCTTACATTTTTTGTGAATTCGTCACGAATTTGTCAAGAAAAACAGGAAGAATTGCCCCTGAAAAGCAGGTATCGGTTTTCAGCTCTCTTGTCTTTCAAAATTTTAATAGTTGAAAGTTAGGGTTTGGAAAATAATTAAATTGTTGTTGTTTTGTTGTTTACCACAAGAAGAATTGTAAATGGAAGTGAATGAAGGAAATGGTGGAAGTTACGAGGAAGTCGGTGAGCATGAAATTGAGGTGTTGGATCCGGAAATTGCTGAGGTATTAATTAATGAATTAATGAATTTTATTAGGTAATAAATTAATGGTGTTCAAAAGCATGTAACTGTTGTATATTTTCAGGTGCCTAATTTTCTTGTGCCTAATTTTGTTATATATAACTTAATTTTGACTCTTGTGCAGTCTTTAAATGAAACTAAATCCCTAATTTTCTTGTGCCTAATTTTGTTATATATTCAAGTCAAACTAAATAGACCAAGAAAATATATAATTTTGAAGTACATTAAGTGTTCAAAAGCATGTAACTCTTGTACATTTAGTTATTTTTTGATGCATTGTATATGTTGGTTCTAGGTAGGTAGCTGTGATTTGTGAATATAAACAAAGCTAAAATGGTTTAGTTATAAACTTATAATAGTAGTATTCTTGATTTGTTTTTTTAATATAATGCATAGCTAAAGTTGAAGCTTATTTTTGTATTTGGTTAGTTTTGTGAATGTATCTACAACCTTTAAAAGTGAGAAGTTGAGAAAGATTAGGAGTTTTGGAAAAAATTAGTGAAAGGAATAGTGTATTGACCATAATTTACTCATCCTTTGTTGGTAATTGCAAAAATGCCATAAAATCCTTGAATTTTGTTGACTTTCATGACTTTTTTATGACTTTTTAACCTTTTTGGCAAAAATGAGTTGTGAAATGACCAAAATTAACTCCTTTGTTGGTTATTGCTAATTTGCTATCAAGATTTGTTGATTTTTCTTGACTTTTTTTTTTACTTTTTTTACTTTTATTAGTATAATTGTGATTTATGTGTTTTAATTAAATTAAGTGAAGAGGTGTACCTAGCTTTCTTTGTTTAGTTTAACTAGGGCAGCCAACGTGCGCTGTAGGCGTTGCTCGAAGTGCGCCTACGTTAAAGCATGTGTGAATATGCTTGGCACTCATAGGAAGTGGGAATTGACATAATACGATTAGGGACAAGGAAAGTAGGGAGCCGCCAACAAGTTTTTAAGGAACTTGTAAATCGTTCACGGATCATAAAAGGCAACCACGATAAAGGGACAACGAAGGCAACAACGATTGACCCGTGAAGGTTACACCCCATTCATTATCCATGAGATTACTAACTCCATATGGTTCGGAACCACGAAAGGAGGATCGGGGATGATGGTACGAAGTGAGTCATGGAGTCACATTCGCCCGTATTGGCCTCTACTCGATTCTTATTGTGAAAAGTGATTCCTACAATCTCAAAGGCATACAAACAAAGATTCAATTTGCTCCAAACTATTATTAAGCTAAATTGGTTTAATATTAATGCAACATATAATTCTAAAATATTTGTGATCACTTGAATTAAATAACAAGATTAAAAAGGAACCAAAACCGGTTGTCCAAATTATCTTATTAGGCGTGATTTTCAATTACATATTCCCTTTAAACATGCAATATAGTGATCATTATAACAATAGAATAAACATTAATATTGGAAGCAATTTAGTAATAATAGCGTTAGTCAAATCAAATAATAATAATAACCCTAATCATGATACTAGCAACAAGAATAAAATAAGAGTAATTAAGTGAATAATTACTCACTTTCCGCGTTTCCTTTAAATTGCTACATCATGAATAAACTGTTAGTAACTCCAATAAAAATATAAAACAAATGAAAATTAAATTAAATAAAGATTAGATTTGATTTGGTCCAAACCCTCAATCAATTATACCTTTCACGCCTTGGATAAAGTATAGAACTTCGGGTATTGTATGGACTCCTTGGAGTACTTAGGGGAAGTATTATTGAAGAATAGGGAGATTAGTATTTAGGCTAAAGAGGGAGAAGAGAATGATTTTGTGATCAAGATTGTTGATGTTTGAAAAAAGGGGAGATATGACCTCTATTTATAAAGAAAAAAGAAGGGTCGAAAATTTAAGATAAGATCCGAATTAAATCAGAATAAAACTCGGTAGACAACAGTTTTTGTGGTTTTTGTTTTTATCATATCTTTTGATTCAGAAATCGGAATAAGATGAATAAGATATTGTTGGAAAGCTCTTGAAGTCTACTTTTTAACCCAATTAGAATCAGATTAAAATATTTTGTAGAACAAAAGATATAGACGAAATAGTGAGACGGTATTAGTTTTGGATAGAGTTTGATGACATTTTATTCATATCTTTTCTGTTATAGCTCGGAATTGATATTATAATATATCATTGGAAAGATAATTTCAAGGGCTATCCAACCATATAAAATTTGGATAAAAACTATGAGGCACGAAAATAATATTTGTCTATCTTTGAACGTGTTTCGATTCGAATAGAATTAGGACTTTCAAAAAAAGGAGTTTTATTCAATTTCAAACTATTTAATCTTATCTTTTCAAAAAGGATAATCAAGATCTTTTAGAAACTTATAGAAGCTTCTAATTAATCCTAATTGGTTTAGGAATGGGATTAAATAATTTGGACCCTCCACATGATCATTGGGTCGTAGGTAAGGTGGGCTTAGGTTCGGTTTGGGCTCAATTTAATATTTTGGCGATAACTTATTCGTTATAACTCGGATTTGGGCTTATAATATATCGTTGGAAAGCTCTTTTAAAGCCTCATCCAACTATTCAATCATTTAACCCAGATAATGGACCAAAATAAACTAAATTAAACGTTTTATAAAAAGGACACGAAATGAATGATTTTAAAGGACACAAAATGAATTATTTTGGGTTTAAAGGCATTAAAAGAGGAAAATAAGTTATGGTTTGGGAAAATGGGCTATAAGTTGGGTTGGTTTATGAAATGTATTGGGAATGAACATGGATTTAAGCACTCCAAAGATTACATACTCAACCCGACCAATAATGGCGGTGAAAGTTTGTTCATCATCGGGTTTGGTTTTGGGGAGACATTTTTAGGTGTCTACAGAAGCCCCCACTTTGATTGAGTTTGTAGAAACATCAGTTTCAAAAATGATAGTCAAAGTAGTCGATGGGGACGGAGAATGAGTTAAGACGTTCTGCGATCCTAAATCACTCTGTATACGCTGATACCTGCAGAAAAATGTTAATTCCACAAATAAAAGAGTAAAAGGATAGAATACGTATATGGCACCAGTGTATCGGTGACAAATGAGTTTGGCAGCTTCCTATGCTTGAAAGAATCCACCGGATGACGTTTGTTGAAACGCTATCCATGCTTGAGGAAAGCCGACAGATGAGTTTGGTAGCTTTCTAAGCCTGAAGGAACCTACCGGATGACACTTTCCATGTTTGAGGAAAGTCGACATATGATTTTGGCGTTTTTCTATGCTTGAAGAAATCCACCGATAATGCTTTCCATGCTTGAGGAAAGCCGACAAAGGAATTTGGCGGTTTTCTATGCTTGAAGAAATCCACCGGATAATACTTTCCATGCTTGAGGAAAGTCGACAGATGATGAGATTGCAAGTCTCTGTGTATCGAGAACCTTGCGTCATGAAATGATGGTGGTTCGATTGTCCCCGAACGTGGGTTGTAGATGGTCCGCTTGTCCCCAGACGTGGGCTGTAGTTGGTTTTCTTGTCCCCGAACGTGGGATGTAAATGGTTCGCTTGTCCCCGAACGTGGGCTGTAGATGGTCCTCTTGTCCCCGGACGTGGGCTGTAGATGGTTCTTTTGTCCCCGAACGTGAGCTGTAGATGGTCCTCTTGTCCCCGGACGTGGGCTGTAGATGGTTCGCTTGTCCCCGAACGTGGGTTGTAGATGGTCCGCTTGTCCCCGGACGTGGGCTGTAGATGGTCCGCTTGTCCCCGGACGTGGGCTGTAGATGGTCCGCTTGTCCCCGGACGTGGGCTGTAGATGGTTCGCTTGTCCCCGGACGTGGGTTGTAGTTGGTTCGCTTGTCCCTGAACGTGGGCTGTAGATGAGACCTGCAAAAATTAATTTGCCAATGGACTCATATATATTGTGATTGACTTGACCACTAACTTGACCAAGTGTGACTTGACATGACATGACATGTGTATGACTTGTGATTGTGTGTGTCTTGTGTGAGTGTGTGCACTGACACAAGCAATTAAAAAACAAAAATTTTCCGTCATTTTTGTCATTAGTGGAGGGTACCAACTTTCTCTCGAAAAGAAAGACGTGAAAAATGAAGTTTTGTTTTTGAACTTCCCCAAAATAAAGTCATGATAAGAAAAGGGAAGAAGTTTTGAACTTCCTTGTTGAGCAAGACGAAATAAATCACATGAATTTTCTTCTTGTCATATTGAACTGCCCGTCTTGAGTATAATGTATGCATAATGTATGTTCTTAGGCTAGGAGGCTAAGGACAATTACGTCATGTGACACGATAGATGAATGAACTTAGGTCATGGAGCTAAGCATCACATATGGTGTAAAGAAACGATCTTGAACGTTACTTAGGTTTGGAAGCTAAGCACGTATATAGATGAAGTGATCGATGAGTATCGCATAATGAATGTCACATAGGTTGATGAGTCTATTTTATACATATTTTATTCCCTGTCCCACGGTCATATTTGTGCTTATTTGAGCTTTACGGAGCTATTTTTACTACT